TTCACCATTAGTATTTTGTGACTTATATAATTGTATATTGTAAATGCCTACTTTTATTTTTATAATGTGTGTGTTTTTCCTAAAATCACTTCAGAGAGACTTTTATGTAATCTAACTTAGCATGTTTTATCATACTATGAGTGTGTAGCGTCATCCTAACACAATTCGATACATAATCAATTGTCAGCTATTGCTTGTTAGTTAAGTTGTATAGTTAAATGAAATAATCACTATAAATACTTATTACTAGTTACTACCTTCCTAAATAATATACTACTCACATAAAAAATAGTATTAAAAAAAAATGCAAATCAAATATTTAACAAACACAATATATTAGAAATTAATTTTCCTTATTATAGAATATTTAAAATAGTTAAAACTATTAAACTGATGTATACTTGTTTCCAGCTTTCCAGATTTATTAATTATGAAACCTTAAGTTCTTAACTTTGGGTACAAGAATCTAAAACAAGAACCAACTTTTAACTGTCGTTATTTTTGTTTCGGTTTGTAATACCGTAGAACTAAGTTAATTTAATCCTGGTTTATTAATAAAAACAATTTATTTCATTGTACATTTAATATCCGGCTATAAAATATTAATTTGTCCCAACGAGTCATTCGTTTAATTAATTTGTTTACATCCATTTTATTATTTTGTTTGTTTACTATGATAGTTACCATTTAGTTTTTTGTGCATATCCAATTATTATTCAATTAAATGCATGCAAATGACGATTTTGTGATGTGTACTTATTGAGGTACCTACTGTATATATACTCTATTCAGAATAAGAGTATGTTTGATTAAACATTCAAACAGCCACCCCTATTCCTCTCATTTTGTTTATTATAGAAGTCACGTATATGCTAATAAATTTATATCGTATACTGGGTGATGCGTTTCAAGTTCATCTCAAGTTGTACTTAACAGTAAAAAATTTGAATCTATTATAGCATAAAGGTCTTAAGTTTTTTTGTACACAAGTACAAATTTTGATAAACACAGTGAAACATGTTTAATCAAACTTAGATCAGAATCGTTTTTTTGCTGGCAATGGTTTATTGTTGTATACAGATATAAATTAAATAACTATGTATAAAAAAATGAAATTGAAATAATATTCTTAAGTTTATTTACAATGATTATTTTATTGAAAATATTTAATAATTTGATTAAAAGATACTTTTTTAATATTAATATAATATCCAAAATCAAAATATTTAGGACAGACAATGTTAGTCATCTTCTATTACATATAAGTATAAAATTGCATGTGTAAGCTTAATTTCTGTACTAAAATATGTAAAATTAGATAGATTTTATTTCGGTATTTTTAAATCTTTAGTATAATAAAAATTTAAAAATAATATTATATCCTACTATAAACGTATTTTTAATTTGAAATGTGTTATTTTATAATTTGTATAATAATATGAACAAATCATGTAAAAGTTAAAATTTAAACTAATAACAAAATATAATTTAACTTAAAAATGTGAGAATATCAATATTTGAGTACAACCTTTGTAGCTTTTGCTTTGTCCTTATTTTTAAAATCAGTATTCACCTTTATATGTCTACTCAAATTTTGAGATTGAGTCCGATATGAGTACTCATATAAATGCGACGTTTGTAAGAAATCATTTGGACTTTACATGAATACTTTATAATAAATTAGGTATTATGAATTCTTCCAAACATGTTTCATTAAAACTTATTTTTGAAATAAACGATGTATCACAATTATTGTTAGTTGCAAATCTTTTTTCCCAAATTTCGATTTTGTTTTTATATAAACTTAATTCCAAAATATTTTTTATAATTAAAATTTCATTTTCATACATAAAACAATCAAGAAAATCAATTTCTTTTGGGATTCCAGATCAAGTATCTAGAAAATAAATAATTTATCATTAATTAAATTAATTAAACTTAAGTTAATTTTCTGTGTAAACCATGTCTTTTTTTTATAAGGGAAATAATAACACCAAAAATATTACATACGTAACCCTATCTAGAAATTAAAATGTTTTTATACATTTTAATGAAAGTACTCATATCAACCAAAATTATACATATTATATATATGTATCTTAAAATTGAATCTAATAATTTTGTTTTCCATATTAAAATTCATATATATTATGTACAATGAAACATACTAATAATATGGTAGTGTTTATAGTATCTGTATATAGGAATCGGACAGTAAATAAAATAATAATAAAAGTAAAAATTATAAATAAATATAAGTTTATAAGTATTATATGAGTATTTTATCCTTGTTTATGCTGTAAATGTTCATGGCACGTTTTTCATAACTCATGAGATTTATTAAAATGATTTTAGATTTTGAGTAGAGTGAAGAAGTTTATAGTTTTACAAAGATTTTTATTTTTTTTTATCTGTGCGTAACTTTTCTACCAGAAGACTTGCACGGATTTCTACGTGTAGCACTTTTTCTAAAAGGAAATCGGCTTGGGGAAGTACTTTAAACAGGTTGATTTTTCAAAAGTTTTCTTATAAAATACGAAAAACCGAAGAAAAAAAACGGAAAAATTTACGAAGTATAATAGATATAATCTTATGATTTTTTTTCTGTAGACAATTTTTCTACCAGCAATTTTGTTCCATCTTTTAATGATAGAAATGTTTCTGAAAGGAAATTTTATTAGCGAGGCAATTTTTTCGAAGAATTTTCCCTGCAAATGTGCAAAACCAGGAAAAAATATGGGAAAACTGGGAAAAACGTAGGAAAACTGGGAAAATCGGTACAACATGAAACAAGTATTATTAAAGAAAATATATAAAGTTTATTTAATTATTTTACTAAAAAATGACATATATATTATTGACAAAGTATCACTATCAACTAAGGTACCGCGGGAGTATTCTGATCCTCTCGTCATCTATAAAGACCTATCGATGTATAAAAATCTATGAAGACATATTATTAATGATAAAGCTTTTTGTGTTCTAGTTATATGAAAACATAATTTTTTGCTAAAAATAAAGATAAATAAATATGATGTGAAACAAAAATCAAACGAAATATTTTAATATAAACGCACATTTACTAAAATGATCAATTTTAAGAAGGGTAAGTCACATATTGGTACAACAATTTAGTGATAGGGTTATATATTGGTTTTATCTCATAATTTAAACTAATGAAAAAACATTAGAATACAATATAAGTTAAATAAATGTATGTATGTAATTTATTTTTTATCGAACTAACTTTGTATGCTACTATACCAAATCATATATACCGCAACCTACACCATTCTTTTTGGATTTTTTTTTTTTGACGTCTGAAAACGAATTAATTTTTATTATTGTTGAAACAAAACCCTGAATGGAGATTTAGTGTTCTGTATGTTCTGGTTAGACCATAAAATGTATATACATTTAGAAATTTATACAAGTATATAGTAGACGCCGCTTATAAAGTAATTACTATAGTAATTACTTTTAGGTATACTATAAACTGCAATAGTCCCATATGTAAAATAGGAAAGGGAATTGGAATGGCTTAAACAAACAGCTGATGTAATATAATTTCTCATATTTATAGAATATGCATTGTAGAACCGAAAAACCGTGTGCGGAGGTTCTGAGGACATTTTACAGAATATTTTCAACACGGATTAAGATATACATATACAATGCAACCAACGGTCAAAATGCAGGAAACGAACGATAACGATGTTATTTTTCGATTACCAAATTACAAATAACAATAATATATAAAAATAATACCATCAACAAAATTTAATAATAATATAATAATATATTTTAACTTAATTTGAACATTATTTGACCTTAATCGTTGAATTTTGATTTGTTCATTTAAAAATATACCCATAACGTTTTATAACTAAAAGCATAAGCAATGCTTACACTGCTTATATGCACGCCATGCCACTGCATAAAAACCTATGTTCTAACATTTGCCTATTACTATAGTTGATTTCACGAAAAGTGGCCCTCGACGGTGGCGCGCCTAGTAGACTATTTGACGCAGGTGCTCTAAAACAAGCGTGAAACAAAGCGCGGCAAGTTTAAATTAATTACTTATTTGTATATTATCTTATATATGATTATTTTTTACACCATAATTTAAATGCAGCATTTCATAATACAAATTATGAACAATTCAGCTAATTTAGTATCACGATTTTTATTTGTCTACAAGTACAAATAATACAATTAATTAATATAACATTAAAAAAATACGAGAACCACTAGTTTGTAGAAATACCGCCACAAGGCATGCCATCGTCGAGGGCCACTTTTCGTAAAAAGCACTATAGTTGTTTATAGCCTATTTTCATAACATTTTACTGTCTATTGCAGGGATTCCATTACCAAGTTGCGAGACCTAATAATCTAAGATTGTGATGAAAACATACAATTTTAACAAATAACATTTACATTTATAAGGTTATCATAAAAACACATGATTATGATTGTTATTACGATTATTAGATAAGGAAAAAGTCTAAACCCGGGCGCTTGTGAGAGTAAGCTATTATTAGTTTCTCTTCATAATATTTATCGTTATTCGTAAGTAATAAACAAGTAACAGGTGCGCGTGCATTCGTGCGGTATTACTTATAAACTATTGTTGAACAACTGAAGAGTGATTTTGTAATCTAATTTAGATAAAATATCGCTTACATTAATTTTAAAAATTAAAGTAAATCCTATACAGCAATTATCGATTATAACCGGCAAACCTCTGTTTTGGAATACACAAATTCACACAAATCGAGCACTAAATTTTGGTATAAGAAAAAAAGCAGAAAAGTCTACTTTTACATTTGCGGGGGGCCAGAGAACATTTCTCCAGCCCCCTCTCTCAAATTTTATTTTTATTTATCTAAAAAAAAACAAAGATTTTCCAACTTGGGGGTAAGGTGGTAAAATGTAAGCAAAATTGTATTCTAATTTAAATTCTAAATCTAAATCCAAAAATCTAAATTAAAATCTTATTGATTATTTGGCCGTTTTATTTTTCGCATTTCCTGTTTGCACGTAGTCATATGATTATCGTACCAATCCGATCTCTGTTAAAAAAAAAAAATTAGTTAGCAACAAAATTGAATCAATCTATATACATATATATAAATGAATGTCTGTCTGTCCGAATGTTCTTTAAAGATTCAAAAACTGCTGGACCGATTTTAACGGGGTTTTTTGCAAAATGTTTCCCGTGGCTCGGAAAAGATTTATAGCTATTGAAATTTATAAAATTCAACCCCTAAATGATAGCTGACAAATATTTTGGTATTTTATGGTATAATTTTTGTTTATTAAATTACCTTGGTAACAAAGTAAATATTATATTTTTTCCGATCCAGTAGTTTTTGAGTCTATAAAGAACATACATACAGACAGACATTAATTTTAGATTCTGAGTGTAGCGAAGAATATATTGGGTTAACTAAGATGTTTTTCTTTTTTTTATATACTATTTGTACGCGCGGCACCATTTCTGAAAGGGAATGTTGTCCAAATGGTACTTTTGGGAGATAAATTTTAGATTTTCCATGTGGTTTTCATATATCTAGGAAAAACCAGGATAAAATATTAGAAAAACGGGAAATGTACAAAAATAATGCTTATATTATTTTTTAAATATGTAATTTGTTGTAATTCAGTTAATAATATTCCTATCGATTTTGTAGCCTTGAAATCTAAACCAAAAACTTATATTTGCCTTTTCTAGACGCGGTAAAAATTTCAAATAATTTAAGCCATTTTTGGGCTATTTATAGAAATTTTAATTTTGCGAATTTTATACGTAATTTTTATTCGTCAGGTACTGTGTGGTAAAATTGTTAGATTTAATAGAAATGCTTGCAAATTTTACAGGAGGTTCATTAAAAGTCTTAAACTGTGATAAAAAAATAAATTGAGTTCAATGTAGTATTTTTTTTTTTATGAAGGAATTTTAATATCAAATTTTGATGAAAATCGTTCGAGTAAAAAATTATATGGAACAAATTTAATTTTTCAATTTTTTGTTTTGAGCATATGTATATTGTCGATTTAAAAACGATAGTGAAGTCAGAATGGAGTGGACTGACTAAGGTTCGAAATTATAGCTTTTTGAAGTTCTGATATGCGGATATTATATGTTATATTAAATAATTTTATACTGTCTACTCTCGAATATGTCTGTCGTAGCCGAATGGATATACATACCTAGTGTCATCCTAGGAGACGTGAGTTCTTAAACCCGGATTTTGAACAAAATCGTTTGCATTTTTTCCCCCTTTTACCTAAACAAGGACAAAAACAAATACATTTTGAATGTGCCTGGAGACTTAAGCTCGCTTGGACATTTTAATCGTAAAATACCCCTCAATTTGTTTTTCAAACTTTTATACCAGAAATCTTTCTGCGATATATCAAATTTAGATTATTTTCTGTTAGGTAATATATCTCCTTGGTACTTTAGGAGGGTAATTTTTTGATTTTACAAGTGGTTATCATATTTGAGAAAAACCTGGATAAAATGTCGGTGAAACGGAAAATATACGAAATGTAGATATTAGTAATAATAATATTTTTTTATATATATACAACTTTTCTATACCAACAATTTTGTTCCGATTTACAATGATAGCACTTTTTCTGAAAGTAAATCTGATTATGAAGGTACTAAAGGAGGCCATTTTTCGATTTTTCAAAGAGTTTTGCCAGCAGATGTGAAAAACCGATGTCACTGTTGATTTCAACTCCATCTCAGTGATCGTCGAGATTGTCGAGGAGTTGAAAAATTCTTCCGGGTTTTTTCAACACCCTGGTGGAAAGTCGATCTTTTGGTTACTTCGACTTTTTCCTTTTTAGAATTTTCCCTAATGCTTATACATTTTGTTCTATACATATTTTTTTACTATTTTAATCATCTAGTTGATTAGATACCTTGTGTATTTTTTTTATTAACGAAAATAAAATATTATATAGGTACTATTTGAATTACTTTTTTTCTTCTGTTACAGTTTTAATAATAAAAAATAACGAGAATACTTTACATCGAGAATATTTTTTTTCTAACAGAATTGACCGTGGGCATTTTTTTTATTATAGCCAAAAAAGAGTGATGATTGGTTACTCATCATATAATGTATTCACGTAATATAATTCCAATACTTATATCAATATAAGTATACTTTATTCAACGAGAGAACGCGCCGACCAAAATTAATCCGAGTTCATGCATCTCCTCATGTAGCCATTTTATAGTGTTCCCATTTACACCGAAAACAACCGATAGCGTGACCTCGGCAATGAGCAGAACCGGCGCGTTCTCTGGTTAGACAGAGTATAGGTAACTTATTATTTAGTGTCCACGATACTTCAAAATTACCAACAAATATAAATTACAATCGTATTCTATTATTAATGTTTTCCATAATAACCTTCTGATTTACATTCGTGTTATACTATTTCTATTATAATATAATATTTATCTGGTATAGTAGCATCAATATTGTACAGAAAATCTAAAACAATTACGTGGTCGTCTTCTACAAAACATATTATCTGTTATCACAATTCAAAAAGGTATTCGTCTTGTATTTACCGTGTTTGAGTATGTGTCTACAAAATGTTATAGTTCTAAGAGCCTGGAATATGGGTACCTTTTAATACTCATAATAATAATTATAATCTATAATATTACAAAAATACGTCTTCGAAAAATTGTTTCAAAGAAAGGCATCATAATAATATAATTATGTAGTAATAAGAAACATTTATAAAGTCGTATAAACAAAACATATTTAATTAAAACTAATTACAATAGTACCTACCTATGTGGTATTTTATTTTCATTAATAAAAAAATATACAAAGTACATAATCAACTATTTAATTAAAATAGTAAAAATAATAAAAATTGTATAGAACAAAATCTGTGAGCGTTAGAGAAAATTCTAAAAAGAAAAAGGTCGAATTAAATCAAGAGATATCGACTTTCCAAACTTCGAATTTTCGAAAAAAACCGGAAGAATTTTCGGAAGGCGAATTTTGAAGAATTTTTCGACTCCTTCAGTTAAAATCATTGGGGAGTCGAAATCAACAGTTATACCGGGAAAAAAGGGAAAATCGATAAATATTAAATTACCTATAAAAGTAGCTGCACCCGTCTCCATTATCCTAGGACGTCTTTTAATACATACCAGATGATCCATGTAAGTGGGTACACTTATTATCCTGGAAAGTATTAACTTGGAGGAGAGTAGTGGTGCATTGTTCACACGCCATGCGTCGTACCGCCACACAAATGATACTCCATTATTCTCCTCCAACTTAAACTTAAAAGTGGAATATCTCGTAAATGGCTTGACAGAAATCAAAAATTTCAACACTCAAATTTATTTTAACAAATTCTTCGTCTATTTTAATATAGGTTGCCATTTTAAAATCGAAAGTAGATAGTGGTTTTACCCTCAAAATTAAGGGTGACAAAATATAATATAAATATAAAATTGTAGAGCTGCTTGTTTTTTAAATATTCTAGAAAACAAATCCCAAAAAAAGTTAATAGTTTCCGAGATAATGAGTGTACCCAATTAAATGGAACATATAACAACTATATATAAACAACTTTATTAAACGGACTGTCCACTTTGTAGGTTGCCAAAAGACACAGTATACATATTCAATATTGATATACATAGATTAGCTGTCCCAGTAATATTTATAAAAAAAATTATTCTTACTTGACAAATACGGGAACAATATTTCACCGAGAAACAAGTACTACATATTATTGTTGCATTGTTGGTACAATTTGGTACGCTACACTGAAACAAATTTTGATCAAAATTACAACATTAGAATACTCATATATATAAATTGTATTATCTATATAGTCTATAGCAAGATCTTAGCATTAATAATAAAGAAATGGATAGATCATTTAATCAGGAGATTATATTATAGACATAATTATAATATATGGAATAAATCTTCCACATATTCTATCATAAGTTTGTTGGGTCTAACACCGTGTGAAAAAGATAGAAAATATTTATCCATTGAAGAGATAATAAAATAATATTTACTTTTACAAGAATGCTAAACAATTTGTTTAAAGTGATCATTGATTATCAAAATTTCAAACATAATTTATCATAGTAAAAGCAATAAATTCTTTGTTACACTAAAAATCTAAAAATCATTAAATATTTCTATAGTGTATACAAATTAAATATAAATAAAACAAATTATGAGGATGCTATAACAGCATTTTTTGATAGCTTGAATTAAAAAAATTAAGTGGACACTATACCCACACTTGTAGATAGCTTCATTACACAAACAATAGCCAAACCAATTTCTCATTTTTTGATTTTATTATTAAATATTTTAAAATGTCAAAAATAACAAAAAAAAAATAAACACCTATTTTATGGTCTGTTATACAAAGACCTTTTTTTTATCATACAGTATATGAATTTAACTTGAAACTGTCAAAAAGGTAAAAAGGTTAATTGGAAGTTGAGATAGAAGCAGAAGTGGAATAAGGAAATTGCGTTAAATTTAATTTTTAAAAGTAATTTAAGAGTAATAGAATATTTAATTTATTTGTATGCATTTTATACTTAATTTATATTATGATATTGCTAAAAATAATGCTTTATCATTTTAAATAATACGTCATGTAAAAAAAAAATTATAATTACTTTTAGCTAAGTAAGTAATAATTTTAGAGTTGCCCAAAAAATCAGTTAGATTAGGATATTTAAAAAAAAAAAAAAATGGAAGATAATTATAAAATTTGGTTTAGTAACACAAAACAACACAAATCACTAGAAAAACCTAAATATTTAATTTAATACTTGCAGAAGTTAAATAAATACAAAAAGAACTGTACTTTTATTCAATTAAGCAAATCATAAATATATATATATTTATGTTATATATGGATTATGCTAATTTACTAAAATAATGAACAATATTAATGAGAGGCATAGTGACATTACTTATGTCTCATTATTTAAGCGCCAGTTTTTAATTAAGCATGAACAATAAATCAATTATGATATAATTATATTGTTTGATAACATATTGAATATTATTATAGGAACTAAAAAATTATACATACCTTATACGAAATAACTTCTAGAGGTTGTGCAATTCTAATTGTATTAGCATTTTGAGGATTTGTTTTCATTTGGTCAGCTGGAATTTTAACTAAATAGTATTGTGTGTTGTCATCAGGTCTTTGAACAGTTGTATTATTATTACCAGAATTGAATTGTTGGATAGCAACAAATGGGGTTAAAATAACATTTGAGGATCCTATAATGTTTAGTTTAGGTTCTGAGGTTAGAGTTTTTTGTTCTATACTGGTACTATTCATTTTCGGTACTCTGAAAACACAAAAACAAATAAAGTACACTTAAAAAAAGGACGAACATACTTTGCACGTGAGTAGAGCCACTAGTTGTAGGTAGGAAGGTAGGATATAGACGGGAATTTAATGTATACCTGTAAGCAACGTTTAACCATTGCTAACAAAAAAACGATTCTGAGGGCAATTCAGTTAAAAGTGAAATAATTAAATAGACATTATATATTTTCTTTCATAATATTTGCTTAATGTTGTATCGATTTTTCTGTTTTTCCTGGTTTTCCCATGTTTTTTCCCGGATTATGACATTTGCTTAGGAAAATTTTGTAAAAATCGAAAAATGACCTCCTTAAAGTACCTTCCCAATCAGATTTCTTTTTAGAAAAAGTTCCATCATTGTAAATCGGAGCAAAATTGCTGACAGAAGAGTTGTACACAAACAAAAATAGGCCATAATATTTTTTTACTAATACCTACATTTCGTACATTTTCCGTTTTTCCGACATTTTATCCCAGTTTTTTCCGCTCAATCTGACGTTACCATATTTCTTAAATCGGCAATACACATATATTTGAAAAAAAAAAATTAGATTTGTTCAACATAATTTTTTACTCAAAAAATTTTCGTCAAATTGTAATATAAAAATTCCTTTATAAAAACAAATACTACGTTAAACTCAATTTTTTTAATTTTTAACCATAAAGTAAGATTTATTGAAACTGTTAAATTGTCAACATTTTTGTTAAGTCTAACAATTTTACCACAGAGTACCTACCGAAAAAAAATTACGTACAAAACGCAAAATGAAAATTTATTTTTTAACATAAATATATATATATATATGTAATAATATTTTAGATATTTCTAATGATTGTATTTATATATATACACAGGGATGAATATTTATTTTTGAATTAATTTTTTTTTTTAGCAAACAAATTTTAAAAATTAACTTTTTATTCTACTATTTACGGACAATTTGAAGATAACCATTCTGTAGAGTTTATTTTTCTGAAAATTATAATCACGCATTTATATTTGATGAAAAGTTTCTAAGTAATAGCTGTTTTTGAATTTTACAAATTCGTGTGAAACCGATTTTTGTCTAGGAAATAACATAACCGCGTTACGAGATAACAAAAAAATCAAAATTGTATTATCTTTATTATCCCCGTAGATATTCAAGGGGTATATCTTCGTGGGACAGCCTGTATAAAAAATACGATTATTATAAAAGGCTATTATAAATACATGTATAGTACATTTATTTGTTATTAATTTATTATATTTGTTCATTTATTAAGTTTTATATTTAATAATAATTTTAAAAAAAGAAAATGCGTCGAAATGTGCCATGTGCTATTCTCTCACGTCAAAATGACCATGTCGAAATATTATTTTCAAATCGTAAATATTACGGATTTTCAAGATATATTCATCCAAACTCTGCTCAATTTCGTTTTTCATAAGCAATTATTAATTGTTCCGTAAAGATGTACATTAAATTTCCCCTCTACCTTCCAATTTCTCACCTACTACAGTGGCCCACCAATCGTGTGAAGTATGTCCGTTTGTTTTTTTTTTTGCAATGCTACTTCCCATACCAGTCTATTACGAACACTTATCTATAATGCACACTTTTTATAGTCGTGTAACTGTACTTTATATACAAGTTTCACGGTCAGATATTAGTGATTAGTGGTATCGGCCAATCTATTTGATTATACTTAGTACTATTAATTTAATTTGATACAATTTTAACTTACTGGAAACTTGAAGTAGTAGGCGCTTTGGGTATCACCATTTGTTTTGCTGTTTTATGAACTGAGCTAGGATGAGATAAGGAAGTTACAGATGAAGGAACAGAAGTGATTGTAGATGGAACACTAGTGATTATAGATGGAACAGAAGTGATTGTAGATGGAACACTAGTGATTATAGATGGAACAGAAGTGATTGTAGATGGAACATTAATGATTATAGATGGAACAGAAGTGATTGTAGATGTAACACTAGTGATTATAGATGGAACAGAAGTGATTGTAGATGTAACAGTAGTGCTTGTAGATGTAACAGTAGTGATTATAGATGTAACAGAAGTGATTATAGATGGAACAATAGTATTAATAGATCTGGCAATAGTTTGATTAGGTACAAGATTTGATTTATGAGCAACATAATTCATTGTAACTGATGGGGAATTAACGATGTGATCCTTAAATGTTGAATTTAGACGACATTGGACTGAAGCTTCATCTATTAATATTTCCAGTTCTTCATTAGTATTACTAGTTACTGCATCAATAACTGCTTTAAAGTAATTACAGCTATCCACATTTGACACAAAAAACAAGGCCAATCGGTCAGTTATTCCAGTATCTTTACTGTTTTTAATTAGACGATTTAAATCTATGCAGTTAGAGCGGAAAAATTTTGATTTCAACACTGTGAAAACTTTGGGATGTTCATAGCCACTATATTTTAGGCTATTCCATAATAGAAGTATTAAATTCTTGATAATGCAACTTTTTTTTAATTTAGACTGATCTAAAAAGTGAAGGATAGCTAAGAAAAACATTTGAAATATTGTTTCAAAATCAGATTCTTCAAAAGATTGTACTACTCTTGTAAAATTCATCTTCAGTTTACTTTCCAGAACATTTTTATGTCTCGTATGTTGTCTATTAGCATCCCATCTTTCATTTAGCTTTTCACATTCTGTTTTCTTTTTAAATGACCCATCCATTCGAGCTTTGTGATGTTTATTTGAAATCTTCATTATGTTCAATATATTGGCAATAATAACAATAGTATTTTGTACAGCCTTGTTAAAATATTTTGTATACAGATTTTCTATTACAACTAATGGTAAATGCCCTTTTATCATTGGAAGTAAAGCAGGTAAATTATTAGAACTGCCTGTCTTCTTCGTTCCATTTGTTGTACGTTTTTTGTCCAACCATAATTCATCATAATCTTCATATTTTGATGCATCAATCAATTTACGAATGTCACAAATTCTAACTTTGTTAACTAAACTTGATGAAGGATTTGCTGGTTTTTCACTATTAGTATCAGTGTTAGTATTAGAATCATTACACTTACTAGTAGATGGTTTAGGACTTGATGTTTTCTTAGGATTATTTTTAGTATTTAACTTATTATTAAATAATAGTGGCTTAAATTCGCCAGTCTCTACCTCTCTAGAAATAATCATTTTCAAAGGGCTGTTTTTTTTTTTATCATTCAACTTGATTTTTTTATGGCTAGTTTCTGACGAGCTGGGTTCATCTAAACATCTTGTTTTTGGAAGTGATCTTGGCTTCAAAGGAGAGTTTGGGTTTGTAGCTGATTTTGGTTTAGCAGAAGATTTGTATTTTGGAAACAATTTTACTTTCCAAGAATAACTAGAGGGTTTCTTGGGAGTTTTCATTTTGTTTACAGGGCTGGATTTATTTAAAAGATTAACTTTTTTTGTAAGGTCAGGTATTTTGAAACCATTAACTTTATTTGTAACAATTTTTTCTTTTAAAGTGCTACCTTCTTTCAAAACACAACCTTCCTTTAAAGTGCTACTTTCTTTTATAGCGCTAACTTCTTTTAAAGCACTTATTTCTTTTACAGCGCTTAATTCTTTTGAACTACTGACTACTTCTTCATTGCTGATTACTTCTAAATCACCATCTACTTCATCATTGCTAATAATTATATCATTTTCTAAAATAGCATCATCTTTTGAATGGTTGGTTTCTTTTAAAGCAACAGTTTTTTTTCTTATAATTTTTGAAGAGGCATCTTTTAGTTTTTTATTACGTACTTCTCTATAACATATGAAATACAAAAAAAAAAATTATGAAATTGACAATGTTTTAATTACTAATTGGAATAACTATAGTGTGTTTGTTTTTGTTTTTGTTTATTTTTTTTTAAATTAACCCAGAATTATTTTCTTAGAAATAAACATGTACATAATTTAACAACTAACCTTTAAACTGTTAATCTGCACTTTATCATGTTTTTTGTTTATGAAAGTATATAATTTTACAATTAAGTTATAATTTATATTATGTATACATCTATCAATATCATATAATATTATACTAATATGTATTTGATTTTCAAATAACAAACTAAATAAAAATTTCCACAAATAGATTTAGTTGAAATAAATGTTTACATTATTAATATCATCCATCAACTGGTTTCCTAGGTATACCATATTAAGTTTGGTAATTTCACTAGTAAAAAAGAGTAGTGAGCATTAATTGTGTGGCAAATCTAAATGCTATTAAGTGCTCTCAACCTAACCTTACTGTATATGATTTTTAACTATATTTCGAAATTCCAAGAAAATGTTTTAGAAATTTTCTAAATAGCTGTTACTAAATATTTGTAAATAAATCTTGAGAAACTTACTGTTTAAGTTTTGCTAAGTCTGCAATAGTAAATTTGTCCAAACTAACTTCTAACCTGCAATTAAATGCATCCACAAACATGCAATTTAAAAATTTGTTGGTATACATGTGCATCCGCGTTCTGTAACAAAAATATAAAAATTAATCAGATATGTAAACCTAATTTATAACATCTTATTTATATTAAAGTCTTTTTTTAATATTAAAGTAAAAGATAAGTTGAATTGGCCGATGTCATTTATAAGCTTAATTCATGAAGATATAAATTGAATCTTTTTCTGATAATAAAATACAAAAATCTTAAAATCATATTACTGAAGTTACAACCATTGCGAAACCCCGGTCGATATATAAAAGAGTAAAAGAGGACATACATCATCCCCTTATATCAGTTGTCTCTAACTCACTTACCAATGGCCATATAACTGTACATCAAAGGTTTGCGGGCAAAACACCTTTTTGATAGCTTTTTTTTGTTTTACTCATTTTAATAGTACATTGTAAATGTACTTTTTTTATTGATTATAATTATTATTATAGTGTGTTTCACGAGAGAACGAACCGCTCTCCGACCAAACCGAATCGCCACAACGCATCCCCACGCCACAACACTATCCATTTATCCCCTCCCGGATCTATCGACAGCGCTGCAACGGCGACCGCAGAAGTGGTGCAGGTGTTGTACACTGCGTTTCAAATAATGCACTGTTGACTGTCGATAGTCCACTGTTTATCGCCAATTGCTGTGGTGTACGCACACGTCATTTTTACAGCGTTTGTAATTTGTAATTTTATCAAAAAATTTAACAAAAATGATAAATTGTAATTTCAACGAAAAAAAAATGAAATGTTTTAATATAATTATTTATTATTTATTAAATTTATAACTCTGTATTATACCTACAGTGTTCAATAAAATATTAAATAAATAAATATGTATACAAAAAAAAACAAAGTCTGGATTATTATAGAAGGTGCTTGTATATACGATAGTTTACGATTTGAAAAATCATCAACAGGTTATAAAACAGCAAAGGTAAAAAAACTTGCAATGCGCGATGTCTGATAATAATAACAATTGAATTTCTACAAAATATTCTAGCGGTGTATAGTCAAAAACCGACGACGGAAGAAATGACAATCGGTTGCCTTCGCTGAAATCAAATTATGTGGAGGGGTAAACATGCGCACAAGCGGCCCGTTCTCTCGTGAAACAGACTATAAGATATACATTGTACAGAATATTGATTTTATTGTTTAATAATAATAATAATAATTTATTTTTATTTTCAAGTTGCACTTCATACTTGATACCTCTTATTTTGTACCAGACTTTCTATATTAGCTATATCTTTGAAGCAACGTTCCATGACTTTTAATAGTCAAGGTTTTTAATTAAAATCAAATTTTTAAAATTTAAAGCTTGAATCATCGGAGCTACATAGGTATTCATAGATATAAAATTACAAAAAAACGTAGTTTATTTTTAGAATCTGGGTGTATTGAAGAATGTATTGGATTTACTATTGGTTTATTTATATTTTTTTTTTATACTGCATACAAAAATTCGACTAGAAATGTTGCTCAGATATATAAGCCAGGTAACATTTCTGAAAGGAAATGCTGTTCAAATGGTACTTTAGAAAGGTTATTTTTTGATTTTCTAAGCGGTTTTCATAATATATGGAAAACACCAGGATAAAACGTAAGAAAAACGATTAATGTACTGAATTAATATTTTTATTATTTTAATCAGTTTTGTTATTCATTGTAATTTGGTTAAAAATATTCTTTGAGACTTGAAATTTGGACATAAAACATATATTTACCTTTTCTAATATGGTAAAATTTTTAAAAAATTTAAGTTATTTTTGAGCAATAAATGGATATTTTAATTTTGCGAGTTTGTATGTAATTTTTTTTCGGTAGGTACTCTGTGGTAAAATTGTTAGACTTAACAAAAATGTTGACAATTTAACAGTTTCAATAAATCTCACTTTATGATTAAAAATTTAAAAAATTGAATTTAATGTAGTATTTGTTTTTATAAAGGAATTTTTATATTACAATTTGACGAAAATTGTTTGAGTAAAAAATTATGTGGAACAAATCTAATTTTTTTTTTTTTCAAATATATGTGTATTGCTTATTTAAGAAGGATGGTAACGTCAGATTGAGCGGAATGACTAAATTACGAAATTATAGCTTTTTGAAGTTCAGATATCATGCAGATAATATATGTTTATGTTAAATAACTCTACATTGATTCCTTTGTTCCTATATGTTTCTTGTAGTAGAATGGTTAGGAGTACGTATTGTTATACTAGGGGTCGCGGGTTCGAACCCGTGGACTGGAAAGACATGTTTTGCACTTTTTTTCACTTTTATCTAAACAGGGAAAAAACAAATGCATTTTAAGTGTACCCAAAGATCTAGCTATCACTCGCTCGGATGATTATAATCGAAAAATACCCCTCGATTTGTTGTGCAAACTTTTCTATCAGAAATCTTGCTCCCGTGCATCAAGTGTAGCTTATTTTCCGAAAGGAAAATTAATCTCAATGATTTAGGGAGGTCATTTTAGTGATTTTTCAATAGGTTTTCTTTATAACTGGAAAAAACTGGGGTAAAATGTCGGAAAAACGGAAAATGTACGAAATGTAGGTATTAGTAAAAAAATATTATGGCCTATTTTTGTTTGTGTACAACTCTTCTGTCAGCAATTTTGCTCCGATTTACAATGATGGAACTTTTTCTAAAAAGAAATCTGATTGGGAAGGTACTTTAAGGAGGTCATTTTTCGATTTTTACAAAATTTTCCTAAGCAAATGTCATAATCCGGGAAAAAACACGGGAAAACCAGAAAAAACAGAAAAATCGATACAACATTAAGCAAATATTATAAAAGAAAATATATGTCTATTTAATTATTTCACTTTTAACTGAATTGCCCTCAGAATCGTTTTTTCGTTAGCAATGGTTAATCGTTGATTACAGATACACATTAAATTACCTATAACAGTGGCTGCACTCATCTACATTATCCTAGTACATCTTTTTTAGTCATATTTTTAGAACAGACATTTTGGCATAAAGTTCTTTAACATGGTTTTCAAATTTAACACCATGCTGAGTAAACTTAGAAATTAAAGATTTTGGCCAAAAATAATGAATTCTTTTTGTCTTCTAATCACTATTTGTTTTTATGTTCAATCAGAACATAAAAAAGCAAAAATTGCCCAAAGAAACTGCTTTATAGCAAGCCAAAGATGGTTCTTTCAATTTAGCCCAACCACATTGCACATCTGTATTTGAAAATATATCTATATCATTTAAGCTTATTCTATATGATGAAAATTTTAATGAATATAAGTTATAGTAATCAATATACCTGTTAAATAATTATAAATTATAATAAATACTATTTAAAACACTTGTTTAAGTTTAATAATACTGCTTCATTATGTTAACAAGCCTCAGAATCTCTTGCTTTACAACTGCATGCAATCTTTATTTAAATTATATTTAATTCATCACTTTGTCTATGCAATTCTCCTGTGACTTTGTGAAGCATTTGATGATTATGAGAAGAATAAATAACTAACTCTTTGACTATTAAATTAACATTCTATAAACATACAAATGTTAATATTAGTACCTATTATATGTATACAGGTACTTATTAAATATTTATATATTACCCTTACAAAAGTTATTTTTAAGAGTTTAATTTTTTTGCATTGATAATTAATCACATAAATTTAATGAGCCCTAAATTTAAATAAATGTGAATAGTGGAGATGTTTTCACTTTTTATTAGATTAAAATGTACATATTATATAATGTGACCACGTTGAGTAAAAAAAATATTGGTGATACTAGTTCTAGTTTTATTAGATATCTATAAAAAAGACAAATATAATAATAAAGTAAATTTAATAAATCATCAATATTCTATTACATGATCAAATTTTACACTTACAATAATATGTTTGCAGTTTAAAATCTGTTCACCTTCTATGTAATTTCGAGTAGTCGGTGAACATTGTGCGTACTCAAAAATATGAGCAAGACTTAGGGTATTCATGTTTAGTGATTAATTAGGGTCTCAGGTGTTATAACATAGATAATAAATGCAAAATCATTAAACAAATATTATAAAATACTAATAACCCAGACAATATAATATTTTACATAGTTTTATGTATAAATTGTAGTTTATACATAGTGTAATCTATTGTGTCTAATCTATATTAGTGTCCCAACTCGAGCGGCAATTATGTAGTACCGTTTTTGTCACACAGAGCCCGCCTTGTTAATCTGTATAGTCAATAGGCAACATTTTATTTGTATGACCTGACTATATGTAATGAATAATATATGATTCTCTTGGTTTGTCAACCGAATTTCAACCACTGGTCGCACCACAGTCGAGTCTCTAATTTTGCGAATAGAAAATATTGACAACAATATGCCATATTATTACAGTAATGATAGACTTGGTTATGACCACGTGGTTATGAACGGTAGATCAGCGGTAGTAGGGATTGTGAAAAATCCGACCAATTAAAGATCGATTTAGGGCTAATAATTTTGTAAAATAAAAACATTTTCTAGGTAAATGCGAAAAAACTATAGCGATTGATAATAATAAATAAAGGAAAGAACGGGATGAAAAACGTCAAGTAGAGTGCAGGATAACCTCGATCATTCGAAAGCAAAATGATTGACATATTTTCATATTTTGTATCTATTACTATTATATTTTATATTACGTACCTTTTACTCTTGGGTGTCTCTCTAACGAATAATCGCAACAATATGTAATTGGCCTAAAAGCACATCTGCCGATTGAGAAATTCGAAACGACGGAAAAGAAAACGAGTGGTGTGCAATACTAACACAAGAACTCGAAATGGCGTCGGTCGTTGGCCCTGAACTGTCGAAGAGAACGTGACCCGACAAATGTAGTGGGGGTAACGCAGTCGGTCGAAGCGCTACGGTAGGGCGGCGGCCGATTCAAATCAATGGTTTTCAACCTTTTACGAATCGCGACCCCCTAATTTTTTTTCATTAATAACAACCCCTTCAAAAATAATTTAATAAAACTTAAATAATACGATGTACAGTGTATACTTTACATCGTATTATTATATGGTACTTGTAGTTTTTGGTGACCGCCTATCTATCTCTCGCGACCCCCAGGTTGAAAACCACTGGTTTAGACCAATGTAATATCGGAGTGGCATGTCAATACGATGACTGTATGGGTGGAGCAAAGCGAGGAGCGACGGCGGCTGTTGTAATGTTGTGCCGAGAAACGGCGATTGGTGAGAGGGTGAGTGGATGTGATAGCGTTGCCGGTTCGTGCAAACGTTGCGGCGTTGCCTAGACGGTGCGTTATCGATAAGATCACGTTTGGTAAATCACAAACAAGTCAATGGCGGTGAACAAAACAAGTCGCCAGCGCAGCAATGATCTATGCGGGCAGTGCGCAGCGATTGCAAAACGAAATAGCGACCGTCAACCGGTCCGAACATCAATACGCATGCGCGCGTCATATAATAAGTAATAATAATGACTAAATCGTACAGACTTATAAATAAAATGCACATGATATTATTTGTCTGAAAACCGGTGGACGATAATACTATACGAATGAAAAAATGGTAATCGATAAAAAAATACCAAAGAAAAAAGAACAACATTTTTAAAATTTGAAATATATTAATTAATTATGATTATGACCTCGGAAGTTTTAAGAAGCAAAAAAGGCAAAATATACACGAAAAAATTGTAAAATATGCATTCATTCTATTATTTGAGCAAGTCATTTAGTCTGTCAAAAGTCACTTAAGTGTAAAAGGGTCAGTCAATAATATAATAATCAATTATTATACTCAACATTTTAAAATTGTTGGTTTCTTTTTCCGTGTTCTTTTTTACTTGTTCTTTTTTCCGGGATTCTGAAAAAATACGTAGGCATAACTGTCATAAATTCGACATTCTACACATAACGATGATAATATTATGTTTATCGCGTGCCCAATCGACTATACTCCGGCCCACGAGAGATCATTACCGTGTCACGACGAAAACGTATCCGATTTCACGCATACCTCCCCATTGACATACAGACAGGTATTCAGAACGGCCGGCAACGCTCAATGCTATATAGTGTGGAGCGAGTAAGGACGTGCATTGTAACTGTCATCTGTGTCGAGCGCGCTTACTTTTTAATTTTGTATTTTGTGTTTTATATTATTTACACTGTGGTATTTTGATATTTTCGACATGGACATCAATGAATCTACCAATGTAGATGATTCTGCCGTTATTATATATCATATAATAAAATGTCTTGAAAAATAAATATTAATTGTATAAAAGAAAAAAATATGTTTATAACTTTATCACTCTGTATAGTATAAACACACATTTACGACACTCTGTATACACGCCGTATTGCGTAACTGTTGTGACACATAGTGTGAAATATAGCCTCGGGCCGGTCACTGCCGTCAGTTTACATGCACGAAACGGTAATGATCTCTCGTGAGCCGGAGTATAGTCCGTCGAATTTATTATTGTATTGGTTTTTTGTAACCTACCATCAAATATTGAGATAATATTATATACGTTTATCCTGTCGATATTTAACGCGAACGTTTAGTTTAGTAGCAATGTCAATAACAATAATAATAATAATACCTACCTACATGTATAATATTACAAACAGACGTGTAAGTTTCAACGACAGCCGCTATCTGAATGTGTTTCGTACTCAACAGGGGTACGAAGAGGGGTCTAGGGTATATATAGCCTCCGAAAATACCTTGGCAGACGAGATTAACACCATCAACTACGAACATCTTCACGCCAGTATTTTTCTTGAAATATTAAATTAAAAGTGTTTGAATATTTTTCGCAATAAATTATACTTATACAAAATCATCGTGTTCAATATTGCTGAATTCGGTTATAGGTTACCTCTAATTAAGTTTAAAAAATACGCCCGCAACAGACATAATTCGTATGCAACCGTTATTTACAGTAGTTGGTAGGTACGCATAAAAAACAGTTTAGATGAAGAAATCGGCCACTGATAATATTTTTATTATTATTATTACCGATTGTTTTTTTTTTTAGATTCTGAGCGAAAGAGGAATGCATTACAGAGGTTTTACAGTGTTTTTTTTTTTATACACTGTACACAAATTTTATCGGAAATCTTGTTCCGATTTTCAAGTGTAGCACCTTTTCTAAAAGAAAATTTTCTCGGACGGCACACAGAAGCCACTTTTTTAATTTTTTTGGAAATAATTGAATTATTTTTAGACATTTTAATTTTGTGAGTTTTGACATAATATTCATTCAGTAAGTACTCTGCGGATAAAATTGTTAAACCTTACGCCTTCTGGAGAGCCACATAGTACCTTGTGTATAAGGGCTCTTTCCTTTCACCATTCGTGGCCAGCTCAAAAGAGCCTATACATCATTACATTGTACATTCATACGAAGATAACTGATATATTTTATGTCTTCATTAATATTTAAGTTATAGAGAAATTTATCAGGACTTAACAAACTTTATTTTGTGTGAGATATAATATTAAAATATCCTTACTTAAATAACTTTACTTTAATATACAGCCATTCAGGTGTCCCACGAAGATATACCCATTGTAATATTATCTCCCGAGATAATAAACATAATCGAACCCTGTTTTTTTTTTATGCTTTGATAAATTTTTATTTCATTATTTTAAAAATTTAATTTTTTTAAAATTTTTATGAATCAACTTTTGTAATCTATAATTATACAACAGGCTGTGATCGCATACTCTAATTAATTATTAATATAATGATTTATTGACTGTACACTTTTTTCTCTGAACTTTAAAAAACTATTGAAAATCACGAATTTAATGAAAATAAGAACTTGATACGTCAAAATTACCAGAAAAATAAATTTTATAAAATGCCAGTCTTCAAATTTTTAAAAAACAATAAACTAAAAATCCTATTTTTAAATTTTTATGTTTTTACCAAAACATAAAAAATTAATTTAAATATAAATATTAGTAGTCATTATTCCTCAGAATAGTATCTTCTTCTTCTTTCTTCAGCTTAACAGTCCTTGAAGGACCTGAGCTGCCACAAGTAAGTCTCTCCACCTTTCTCTGTTGAGTGCTAATTCAACAGACGCATTCACATCCAACAATTGAATGTCCCTCTTCACAGCATCCTTCCATCTCGTTCTCGGTCTACCCAGTATTCGTTTCTTCTGAATCTCTATTGTTGCGGTTGTGACCTTTTTTAGTATATCATCTTCAGCTCTCCAAATATGTCCAAACCACTCCATTCTCTTAGTTCTTATATACGTTAATATTGTTGGTTATCCATACAATTGGTACACATTTTCGTTTTTCCCCCTTTCAAATGTTCCTAGGTCGAGATTGTACACCGGGCCAAAAATTTTTCTCAAAACCTTTCTTTCAAATATNAACTTTTGGATGCTATGGTAACATCGGTTTCCACATGCTAATCGTTCAACTATTTCCTGATGCATGTCATTTTTATTGTTTATGTTCACACCTAGATACTTAAAACTTTCAACACTTTCAAATGTGAGATTATTTACTTATAGATTAGGCTGATTTTCTCTTCTCCTGGAAAGTACCATACATTTTGTTTTTTCTTCGTTAATACAAAGTCCCATTCTTTTACTGGCCGTCACAAGGTTAGACATTGTCTGGGTGATATCTTGTCTTGAGTTTCCTAAAATGACAATATCATCTGCATACGCCAATATTATTTCTTTATTTACCACCTCAACTTGATGACTATGATTTATTTCTCGAATCACCTTTTCGAGACCTAAATTGAATAGGGTTGGGGATAAGGCATCTCTTTGCCGTAGGCCCGATTTTACTTCAAAGGCTGATGATGATTCTCCCAGAAATTTCACTTTGCATGCTGTTTTCTTATTACACAGTTTTACCATACTAATATATATTTTCGATATATCGAAGTAGGTCAATGTGTTCCATAACTCTTCCCTATTTATACGATCGTACGCCTGTTTATAGTCGACGAATACCATGTATAGGTCTTTGTCGAATTCATAATGTTTCTCCATTACTTGTCTCAAGATAAATATTTGATCTGCAGTTGACCTACCTTTTCTAAATCCACATTGGTACCGTCCTATAATCTCTTCAGCGTATGGAGTTATCCGTTCTAAGAGAACTGTAGATAATACCTTATAGCATGTATCTAATAAAGAAATTTCTCTATAGTTTTTTATGTCCAGTATATCTCCTTTTTTAAAAACTGGGCATAATATCGACAAATTCCACTCTTCAGGAATTATTTCTTTTTCCCAAATAAGATTGATCATTTTCCATATTTCGTTTTTCAGAGTTTCTCCACTATTTTTTAATAATTCTGCTACTACATTGCTTTCTCCTGGAGCCTTATTATTCTTAAGTTTATTTATACTCCAGTTGATTTCGATTCTCAAGGGATTACTAATACTTGGCTCTGCCGTACTATATTGTATGTAGGTCGCATCAGATGGTCTAGAAGCTGTTTTATTAAGCAACATTTTATAGTAGTTTTTAAACTCTTCTGCTATATCCTTTTCATTTGTTAATAAGTCTCCTGTCTGATTTCTTACCATCCTAGTTTGTTGTTTATATCCCTGTTTGACATCTTTACTATTGCTAAAGAATTTTTTGGAGTTGAATCTGTTCTTTTCAATTTCTTCAATTTTTCTCTTTTCTTCTTGTCTTTTTTCTTTCCTGAGCGTTTTGTTAGTTTCTATTTTGCTCGCATTGTATCGCTCTAAATTTTCATCTGTCGGATTTCTTAAAGCTTTTTCTCTTAGTTTATTACTTCTGTCTACGATTTCTTTACATTTTTCATTAAACCAGTTTTTCTTTTTACTATTTTTTCTTACTCCTAGGCAGTTTTTTGCACTATTTATCACTGTCGTCTTTATTTTTTTCCATATATGTTCTATATTCTCATCATTATTTTCATTATTTAGCCTTAGCATTTCACGGTGCGTTGTATGAGCGAATTCATTCGAGACACGTTCTTCCGCGAACTTTTCAGTACAAAATTTTTTTAATAGATTTCCTTTATTTTCTCTCAAATGCATCGATAGTCTAGTCATAAATTTTGCAATGACTAAATAATGATCAAATCTACATCAGCACCCCTAAAGGTTCTAATGTTTTTTATACATCCTTTGTGTCTATTTTGAATCATTATATGATCTATTTGATTTTTTACCACTTGGTTTGGAGCTACCCATGTCTGTTTATGGATATCCTTTCTAGGGAAATATGTACTACTTAAGACCATTCCATTTGTCATGCAGAAATTAATTAGACGGGTACCATTGTCGTTGCTTGTGTCATGGAGACTATCTCTGCCAATCGTTGGTCTATATACCTCCTCCTTACCTACTTCCGCATTGAAGTCCCCAAGAACTATTTTAACAGAATAATTAGATGTTATATCACATATCCTGTCAAGTTCTTCCTAAAAATCTTCTTTGATATCATCTCCCTTGTCTTCAGTTGGTGCGTGACAATTTATAATTATTAGATTAAATATGCGTCTAATTATCCGTATGTAGCACATACGCTTATTTATTGCCTGGAAATCTTTAACATATGGTGATATATTCTCGCTTACTACAAATCCTACTCTGTTTTCGAACTTTCCATCTCTATTTCCACTATAAAAAAAAGTTTTATCATCCTTTCTGAGACTTCCTTTTCCAGGCCATCTCATTTCTTGTAGGGCTAATATAGAAATATTATAATTTTTAATGGCGTTCAGCATACACTGTAACGCCCCATGTTTATTAAGCGTTCTAACGTTCGAAGTACCAATTTTGATGCCAGTTTCCGTTTCCAGTCGTTGTCCAGTTTTGTTTCAATTCCGAGGCTTGTTTTGTGATTTCTTTACGTTGTTTTGTTTTATGATGTAGGGTTGTTAGCCCTACGATCAACCCCCAACCTGGAGGACCAGACTACCCCAACCAATTAAGGTCAGGGTAGGGCTATTGCAATGTACCTCGGTACATTGGGCGATGGGCGCGCCACTTTCCCTACGCCGGCCCTCAGAATAGTATAAAATAAAAAAAAAAACAAAATTTGATTATCTTTATTATTTCTGAATATATTACAAAGGGTGTATTTTCGTGGAACACTATTTGTATATGTATATGTATTTAAAAACCTAATAAGGATAGGTTAATGTATTGTATACAATTACTCGATTTATTTTTTCTTTTTTTCAAATGCCTAGAGGCTTTATTATTTAAACGACTTGAAAATCTTTATAAATATGTTAAACAAGGTATATCTTACATACTAGATGTTAATATATACTTTTCGCGTTGATGCATTAACACTTCCAATAAAGTGGCTCCTACCTTTAATATAAATTCTTAAACTACGTTGTATGATTTCAAACGCTTAAGGTGTCTAATGTTTTTGAAGTTGTATATTAATTGGATGGCCAGTGGAAAGAAATGGTGATCTAATTTTGTCTCTTGTTTTGAGCAAACTTTTGGATTTCATCAGCTATTGTAGGCAACATCATATCGCGGTGAATGGCGTCGTTTCTATCAAACTGGTTGGCTGCAGTGATATTCCAAAGAACGATGTTTAACTTAACCAATAGAGCTTTCGCATTTTTTCTTTAATCTGTATTTTTTTCTGGCGGACATGGTGTTTCCAGTTGAACGGGAATAGGTGCATTCCAAGGTATTTTGCTGAATCTTTTAATCTTTTGTGGATTAATGTTCGATTTAACATAATTTGGATTTCTTCTGTTTTACGAAAAATATAGTTAACGTGTACTGATTTATCACCATTTTAAGTTCCAACGTCTCATCCAGGCAAAGACATTGCCAATTGATTCTTGTAAGTTGTCACATGTAGTTAGCTGATACTTACTTGTCGACAAAATTGCCGTTAAATATGATTCAAAAAGTGCATACCAAATAGCAGATGGCAGCTGATCATGCAATTCAATGAGCAAATCCTTGTGCCAGGCTTTTTCAAAAGCCTGAGCTACGCCTAGGAACACTCTACAGCAGTAATATTTTTCTTCAAGAGCTTTACTTATAACGTTGGTGATGCAATGGTCTTGATCGATTGTCGAATCTTTGTTGCGGAATACAATCTGATAGTCCAGTATAAAATATTTTTCTTCTATAAAGAGACCACTTACGTATGATCGAAAAGTTTCATTATTCATTTCGTTAATTTTGTTGTATTTTGCACATTTTACACAGTTCCATTCGATTTTATTTGTTGGATGCCGTGTATTATGCCATATTTTTTTCGCTTGGCGTTTTTGTTGAACTAGATATCTAGTGAGTATGTAGTCTGGCATTTACCATTGGTAGCTGCTGGAGTTACTAATTTTGTCGCATTAATAATGTCATTATTTATTTATATAACATTTTTTAAACTACATTTTCAATATCGGCTATTATTCTTGTTTTAATTCAAGGAGTTATGTTTTTTTCGAAAGCACTTCTAAATAAGTCCCAATTCATTTTTTTGTTTATCATGGAAGTGTTCTTTTATTTCACTATTACATTGGAACTTAATAAGAGAAGCACAGGTATGTGATCCGGCGTTAGCTCAATTAGACCTTTAACTTCTATATAATTTGATAAAATCCCTTTCATTACATAAAAGGCAATAAGATCAGATAGTTTATTTGGGTCAGTTGCCAGTAGATTGGTTTCCTAGTTGAGATAAACTATGCTTTAATTTTATTTGCAGATTTAAACAAATCACGTCCTTTGGTAGTGATCAATTTCAATCCCCAAAAAGTATGTTTGGCATTATAATCACCTCTGGTAATGAATCTACTACCCAGAGTCCGGAAGAATTCAGTAAACTTGTTGTCATCTACTTTACATCGTGGTAGACAATATATAACAGATACAGTAAGGCCATTGCCTCCGTCATTTACACGGACACTTGTTGCTTGTAAATATTCTTTAGGATGTTTTTCAAGTTCGTGATGTTTGATTGATTCTTTTATTATCACTGCAACCCCTCCATAAACGTGGTTGCTTGTATTACAGGCATCGCCTCACTTCCTGATAATACATATTATATATCCTAAGTAAGGACCTGTAGTACAATAATAGGTAATTCACATCTCGGGTCAAAATAGTGTACTCGAATATTATACCAGAAAACCACATATGTTTAATGTACATTTGCATATTCAGAATATTAATATAACACGGACATCAATATTCGGTTGAACTCATACGCGCACATTTAGCAATAACCGGATACTAGAGACTAATTACGTGGGGTTATCGTTCGACTGTTCAACAACATACTATTAATGAAAAGCACGGGCAAGAATCTGAAATGTTGTTCCTAGAGTGCCAGATACGAAACTTAATTTAATTATTCGGATTTCACTAACACTGTCGTAAGCAGTATAAATTTATGTAGTTCACTTGTGTCGCAATCGATCTACGATAATTTTCGGGATACTCATTTATTTATTTATTTATATATTTATTCGATTTAATACACAATTTAAATAGAAATAAACAGATTAAATTATTTTAGATAAGCTATAATAAAATATTATACATTTCACTGATAGCCAAAATAAATATTTATGAACTGTTTGAACTGAAGTAGGTACCATTTGAAATACCTGGCATATTTCTAAAATGTTTGAGTCCTTAGTTTTAGGCAGGAATTAGTGCTCAACCGACTGTCAGCGCGTACCGTCGGCGCTGACGGTACGTGTTGATCATCGGTCGTGATAAAGCCTTTAGTGCATAGCTGATCGGCAACTATGTCGGTCACATTGGGTATGTTATTTCGTTAGTAGTTAATTTTTTTAAATACTTAAACTTTAACTTTTGGAAAGATGAATCCATACATAGTGAATTCTATGATATGTGCGTATTATTTACGCAAACAATTAAGACAAAATAAAAAAAGACGTAGAAGATACCATGTCCACCCAGTGATTGTAGACCGGCCAATTGAAGATGAATTTTGTACGCTGTTTTCAAAATTACGAAAACACGAGTCAAAATTTTATTTGATTGCTTTTATTTTCGCATCACGGTCTTTGTATACATTACAAGAGAGGTCCCACAATGGTAGATTAAGACGCACCTCAGAAATGACACGTTCGGTATCGATGTTCATTGTAAAATTATAATTAACAATTATAATATAATATAATTATGTAATAAAAATTAAAAAACCTAAAAACTTAAACTTGCGTTCGGGCTCACGGTCGGTCACTCGCATTTACTGGTATGACCCGTCGGTCAACCGACGTACGCGTGACGGACAAGCTCGACCGACGATCCTCGTCAGCGCGACGTAACTGTACGCGAGTATCAATTTTTCAGCGCTGCACTGTATTTGTTCATATGCATTCATGACATATTTACGCTCGACCGACGTCAGCGCTGACCGTCGGTCGAGCACTAATTCCAGTCTTGGACTCAATTCAGCCTTCGGTTAACTCAATTTCCATTAACTAGCAACATGGTTTTCGCCCAGACAGATTTACTGTTACTTGTAATCTCTACTTCTGCAATTACATTCTTGATTATTTTAAAGATGGATCACAAGTTGATGTCATCTATACTGATTTTGTTAAGGCGTTTGATACAGTAAATAATGAGGTTCTCATTTCAATACTTTGTGCTTCAGGATTTGGTGATCCAATCCTATCCTGGTTCAATTTATTGTTATGTAATAGATCACAATGGGTTAATATGTTCAACACAAAATCTTATATATTTTTACCTACCTCTGGCGTACTGCAAAGTGGCCATCTCTCCCCACTTCTATTTTCGCTGTTCGTTAATAGTGCTCGCTCCTCCCTCAAGCATAGATAACTTCTCTGTTTTACTGACGACATGAAGATTTTCCGAAAAATTAACACTGTTGAGGATTGTTTCAAATTGTAAAACGATCTCAATAATTTCTCTGCCTGGGCAGATATTCTCGGTCTCGTTGCACTTTTTCTGAAAAAGAAATCTGACTGGGATGGTACTTTAAGGAGGTCATTTTTTGATTTTTCCTAGCTATTTTTATAGTACATAGGAAAAACCAGGAAAAATTACGAAATGTGTTATGTTTTACATAATATATAATATAAATATTCAATACATACATAACATGTTAGACTTGTATATTATTGATAAAGCAACTGTTTCAACCGAAATCCTCTCAGAATAGTTTTTTGTCAGCAATAGTTAATCTTTGAGTACTGATATAAATTAAATTTCCCAATTTTTCACCTACAACAGCGGCCCACCCATCGTGCGACGTATGTCCGTCTTTATGTATATTTTATTTTCATTTTTCTTATCCTCGTGATATCATTCAACAATTTTCTCACATAGCGTGATTAATATGTACAATTAGTTATGAAATAGCAGGTTTAGGTTAAGGAGAGGTAAGTCGCCATCCCCCACTTTCTCACATAATAACACAAAATAATTCAACAAACAAATCACAATAAGGTAAATGGGCGTAAACCAGTTCATTATTGAATCGTAAAATTATGTGTGAGAAAACTCTTTATGCATTTATGCGCAAACATTTACCACTATGTGTGCAAACCTACCAAACCGATATTTTCGAGACCATAGACCGTAGTACAAACAGCGTACCTTCAGCAAAGTAGCTCTTAACACTTCCTTTAAAAATGAAACAAAATAATTACTTTAAGGTCGTAGTGTTACATATTAGTTTGTTATATTTACTTGGTGTGTTTAAGATATCGTTACAAAAATCGATTAAAACACTCGATTTATATGAAGATAAGTTATTATTTATTGTTATATATCTATGTAATGCAATTTATATTCTGAAATTAAAAGATAAATTTGGAATTTGAATGATTTACGGTTATATAGGTGACGTATGTCGAAAGGGAAAAGGACCAGAACCAAATTTCGAATGTCGGCGTGCGAATAACTGTGATTCCATAGAAGAAAATTTCAAAAACCAAAATTGTTCAGATATATGTATGTATGATGGACATCAGCCGATATTCTGTTGTCTTCCTAGTATTACGCAAACTACGACACTAAACGGCTCGTTGATTAGAAGTTTAGGCATAGCCAATGATAGTATGTGCAAAAGAATATATCAGTTTTATTATTCAAATAATACATAAACAATGTGAATTTTTTTAAATAGAATGCCGTCAGTATCGAGATCTATTTAAGAAAATGTACGTAAGTAATTTCAACTTTATTTTCTAGTGTGTGATTAGATTAAGTTTAATTGCTGTCGAAAAAGAATAATTGAATTGATTTTTGACAATTTTCGTCAAAATTTGAACTTGAAACACTTATAAAAAAAATACATTACGTTTATTTGAATTTCTTTTAACTACTATAATTACAACTTTGCAAAAACAATGAGTTCTTGATAGAAGCAATTCAAAAATTCAAAAATTCAAAAATTCAAATTTCAAATGGCCAAACTACTAATAACAAAGTAAAAGTGATAGTCATTAACTAATTATTTAAAATCATAATTTTATTATTTAGCACAATAATAAAATTGATGACGAGAAAAATTAAAATTAAATTAATTTAAAGTTTAAACTGATATTAGTTTTAACATAATTAAACACTATAAAACAGATTTTTGAAAGGGAAATTATGAGAAAGGAATTGTTTTAAACGCATAAATCTGCCTGGAATAAAAAATTAATATCTAAATTGTTTACCCTTCGTATAACAGCATAGGTACAATTTATTGTTCCGTTTGCTTTTTAAAATTGCATTATTTTTTCATTAAAAGTCATACAGATCTGAAATTTTGTGACATCTATAAAAGTTTTAAATTAAATTTTGCTGACCAAATTTGAGACGAATATCTTAAACCCTTTTTAAAATAGATAGCCGAGTTGTATTTACGTGTATAAGTCAGTGTAGATAAAATTATGATTATATATTTTGAATGGTAATGATGCAAAAAAGTAACGTCAATTATTTTTTTGAATGATATTTAAGTTTATCAGAATATTATGATATAAATATTATATATTTATCGCAGATAAAGTATATTGAAACTAGACATTTTCATAAAAATATATGAAAGTATAATTACTGTAGATACCTACATACCACCGGTTAACGTTGTAAAATTATGCTATCAGATGAAGGTTAAAAAACAAATTTTTTTAAGAACCTTGTATAAATGACGCGGTATAAACAATGTAATTAATGATATATATAATATATTTAATGATATTATAGAGATGTGATAGATATTCAGAATTCACGTGTTTAACTGGTGAATGTATCCCAAGAAGCACTGTGTGCAACGGTAATAGTGACTGTCCAGATGGATACGACGAAAATGACACTCTATGCAAGGTATAATATTTAAAATTTAATTTTTTTTAGTCTTTACCGACAGATAATGATTTCAGGCATGTAATTATACCGATAAATTTATCGGTACAAAAAATATTGATTTTAAGAAGACATAATTTCGTGTTTATTTATTTAGACGTGGATTTGTGATGAGCGATACCTTTTCAAATGTGCCAATAATAATAAATGCATTTTTAAAGAACTAGATAATATAATTATCATATAATTCATATAATTTAATACAGAAAGTCAAATAATTTCCTAGGGAATTACTGTTACTTTTATTTTGATCGGTATATTTTAAATCAAGATAAAATTTAGTTAAAATATTAAATATGTTCATAAAATTACGAGTAGTCTTGTTCTTGGTTATCAATAGATTTATAACCGCGGTTTTATTTTACTTTATCAACATTTGTATAATATCAATGATAATTTTCCCTCCATTTTGATTTTGCTATCTTTCCATCATCAAATTGAGTTACCCATGAAAATAAAAGGCAAATTGTACGATTTTTAAAACTTCTCAGCTGTTTCAAAAGCCAATTCTGGCCACATCAATGTGAAAATTATGGGAATTGATGATTTTTTAAATTGGACTTCTAAACTTTCAGTCTATAAACTTAATAATCAACATATAGGAACACTTTTAAATCAGATTGTCCATATTAAAGCACTCAGAGGCAATTACTATTTATGTTATTCAACAAATTATGATACTTATTCCCTTTTACAAAAATTCTTAAAAAAAGTACATTAAAAAAGGTTTTTCTCCAACCAAAAAAAGCTGGAATTATCACCAATTTGGTTCCACTTGTGCCGATTTATGATATTACAATCGGAAACAATTTTAGTTTGATTTACCGCACTGCATAGAAGAATCAGAGGATTTATACTACAATGTAAAATTAATAATTTTATCGTTTTAATTAATTTTAATATTTTACCAAAGTTTAAATTTTGTTAAATAAGGAACAAAATCCTACAATTGTTTTTAAATTATTTAATTTTGTCTAAAAAGAAAAAAAGGGAACAATCATCTTAATTATTTAATTTGCTTCATAATTTTTGTCCTATTAAGTTAATTACAAGACTGTAAGTTGTTATTATTTATATTTATAATTTTACTATTGTTTAACATTTTAAGTTTAAAGAAAAAAAAAAGAATGCTATTATTTTTAATAATTTTGTTATTATATACTCATTACTCATCAATAAATAAAGATACTTTGAACAAATTGATTAATATAATATTATACTTAATAAATCAGGAAATACAAATTCATATTGAATACCTGTTTAATTATTTTACATAAGAATAATATGTTCAATCAGAAATATTAAAACAGTTTTTTTTTCTGACTACCATAAAAAAACACAGTGAAAAAACCGGTAACTCCCTTTAAATATAGAAAAATAAAAAATTTGGATTTTTTTTTAAATGGATACTTTGGACATTGTTATGTTGAAATTTGTTTAGTAAGTATTACTTTATAAATTTCCCTATATGATAGGACAATTTAAAAGCTGAAACTAAAATAACGTTTTTCCAAAAATGTGTTTTTTGGAGTTACTGTGTTATCTCGTATGACTGCAAATAAGTCTTCTACCTTATATATAATATATACAATATACAGATAAATTAAAAAGATAAACATGTCAAAATCACCAAAATAATGATTACTTTTAAAAATAATCATTATCACCATCAAATATAGAGTTGAAAAAAAAATATACATTAAAATGTATGATAATTTTAGCCATTGATTTGTATAATTAATAATAATAAAAAATAAAAGTAAAAAGATGGCCAATGAATAAAAATCAATTGTGTTGTAATATTATTACATAGACAATAATACAATGTAATATAGCAATTAAGGAAATCCTAAACTATTTTAACTTATAAAATAACATTATAAATACAATTATTTGTTTAAGCTCCAAGCCAACCAAAATATAATTAAATACAAGTTAAATTAAATGTGCTCATTGGTTGCAAAATATCATAAATATTAATGAAGAAATAAGTACAATTTTACTTGAATAAAATAAATAATATAAAAACATAGAATAAATATTATTCTGAACCTTGAGAAAGTAACATACTATCTTCTGGTTTAGAGTGTCTCTTGTACTCTGGTTTGGTCACCATAAACACAACTAATCCACCAAAAACCATAAACAATAAACCTATGAAGTTACCAAACAGTCCTTCATTAGGAAATGTTCTATATTCATCTTTCCTAAAAAAAAAAAATATAAATATAATTACTATTAATGAAAAACATCACTTTTATAAATAACATACAAAGAAAAAATTAATTTTTCACATAATCCCAGAAGTGACGTTGCAATTACTAAAGCAAAGTTGAAAACACCAAAGAAAACATGGTAAGGCATTATAGCTTCTCTATATTGGACAGCTATTCCAGGATACAGGAACGACATAAAACCACCAATAAACTAAAATATAATAATAATTTAATAATTTAATTTGTTTAAAAATCAAGTATTTTCAAACAAATTAATAAAAATAATTAATATTCCATTTACCTGAGACAAAAACATTAAAATAGTTACAACGCCCAACCAACTGTGTAAAGTATATAAATTTGGAATAGGAGGATTATTATACAAATGAGAAGCGAAAGAAGCCCATCCAGCAAGTAGTATCAAAATAATAATACAACCATGAATGATTGCATGTTGATTTTTCAAATCTCGTTTGTTCTTATGGCGAAATGTTCGATAGTGCAAGATAGCTATAATAAATCAATAATAACTAATAATTAATACTCATGTTTACAAACAAAATCATTGACAATTAGGTCAGTCAAGTAAGGTTTTAACAAGGAATTAATTAGTGGAAATCTGGAAATATTTTATTTTGTATATATAGATTTGATATAAGAAGACTATATTTTTTTTCAATCTCCTAGGTCGATGTTGGCCATTAACTTAAAAAGACAACTAAAAAATCAAAGTTTCTTTGTTTTATGTGAATTAGTTCTATTGAAATTTGTATTCTAATCTCAAATATAACATGCTAAATAAGTATAAATAAGTCACACAGTCGAAAGTTAATTGTTATTATATCAAATTAAATAATGATCAACATGTAAAATGACTAATGCCAATGGCATCCCCAGCCATCGACATTAAATTTAAAAAATATACATAATGACAATCATAGAGAGAGTTAACTTAGTGGCTTACAGTGGGATAGTTTTACGATAATCACCAACAATAATATTACCCGAGAATGAGCAATGGGCAGATAGGCGTACTAGGAAGCCGGGAATTTCCTGGTCGGCCCTTTGATCTTGATAATGATGGGTACGATTGAATGAAGACTGGAAGTTATGTAGACCATATATAATGCTAATGCCAATAAGCAAAAAAAAAAACTAAGTATTTTTAAAATTTTCCGGTAAGCCAAAATCTGCCTATCTCCATATGGAATGAGCATTATAATTACTAGTAATCATATTTTGTATTTCTATATCACGAACAATTATTAATATATGATACAATAAAATGTATACTATGTATTTGAATTAAAGATTATTAATTTCAACTAGTGATGATTAAAAAGTTTAAATTCAAAATCTATTATTAACTTTGATACTTAGCCAAAATTAATAAATTTAATGCCTAATTAAAAGGTCGAAAAATTTAGCAACGTAATTTTTCATTGTAAGTTTGACATATTATGAAAAACTGAGAAAAACTAAAAAAGTTCATAAACTTTTTAAACATTTTTTTTTTTGGAAAACCCCAATTATGGACATACATTATTAACCAAGGTATTTAATTGATTTATTAATTCAGGACTTATATTTTTAAAGAATTAATGTGCACTATATTTCAGACTAATATTTCAATAAAACTCATTTTTGAGCAATGAAAAAAAAAGAAAACACTCCAATATTGATGGCAGCCAACACTCACTTCAAAAGTGGGGAAGATATAGTCTCCTATATTAGATCTACACTTAAAGAATTAAAACAATATCCAACTATCCACTAAATAATCCTTTTTTGGGTCACTTTTTGGACAAGCTTACAAGTAAAATAAATCAAATCTATAAATATTAGGTTTTTTTTAAATTAAAACTATCATACAAATAAAACAAACATTTGATATTTTCTAAGATAAGCCCATTTACTCATTGAATACTACTAACTAGATAATTCCTATGATTATCTATACAAAAATTAAACATAATACACATAGATGACATATTATTAATCACAGTATTATTATAATTAAAGAGCAGATTTCAATGCAAATTGCATTTATTTCTGAATGCCCTAAAAAAAATACATACCAAGCACAAAATTTGTGTCATGTATCAAATAATTCAAAAATGAAACTTTTATTGTGCATTTTTTTGCACTTTTATAAGTTTTTTTAATTTTGTAGAACATTTTTTAACAAGTGCATTTTTAAATTTTTAAGACATTTTTATTTTATTTTTACATATTCATAGTGTTACCAGTAAATTTGATTCCCTAACCAGCTCTTTGATTTCCAGCTAAAGGGAAAAAAATCATATTTATATTTTTAAAGTGTATTATGGTTTTACTGATTGTACCAGATATATATGATGGTGGTTGCAATATAAATAACGATAAACTATTTATCCAAGTCATAATGATATCGTATTGCACTAGGTATTTACACTGTTGTGTTAAGTGTTTAGTATTATTATAATTTCCAGAGTAGAAATAGAAGAAGAAGAATATACATCAATTATTATATAAAAATATTTAAAAAATTGAGTACAATTTTATTAAGGCATTTATAACCCTTTTTTTATAAGTGCATTAAATTGTATTTTTTTATTTCATTTTTCTTGTTTTTTAGACATTAAAATCTGCTCCATAATTATTGTTATTATTCTTTTTTTTTTTTTTTTTTGTAATAAATATATTTCTATCAAGAAGAAAACTTAACTAGATATTTAAAATATTCAATAATGAATAAAAAACCAGTTTTTTCAACATAATATTTAACAGTTTACAATGTCCTGACTTTTAGTTTAGTATAAATAAATAATACTAACTAAATAAAGAAAATTGATATCTATTTATATTTATTTAATAAAAAAATAATTTATATGCACATAATTCACTTAATTGTCAGTTGCTATTTTAAAAAATGAAATTAATGTTTATAATGTAAAAGATACAAAGATAAATAAAAATATACATTTTGCAACTCACATATTTAAATTTGTTAATATTTAAAAATAAAACAGTTAAGTATTTAAGGAGAAAATGTATTAAGAGCTATCACTTTTCCCAAGAAATTATCTATAAAAGACAATAGGTAATTGAATTTTATTTTATAAATTAGTTTCAATTAATTTGAAAAATCTGGAAAAAAATAAGAAAACATTGAGATTATTTTTCTGTTATGTGTAACCTAGTAATTTAGATTAATTTGAAATTAAAATTATTACCGTGAATTATATTTATTTATTTTTGGAAATATTATTTATTAAATTCATTTTTATTAAGACGAAATGAAAAAGGTAAATGAAGCCAGCAAATTCTTCAGTGTATAACTAAAGAGGACTCTTATCCAAAACACAAAATCTTTGATTCTAATGAACTTCCCCCAAATAGCATAATTTTCTAAATCTATACATCTCTTAAAAATAATACAGCTTTTTGAAACACAAATTGTATATTAAACATTTAAATTAGTATTAGCGAATAAACAAGCTTTGATATGCTAATATAATATTGGTTGGTTATCATTAGAACACGGAATTATATGCACTAGAAACTTATAAATACAACTTACAAATTAATTTATGCACTTACTTTCATTCAAATATGCAAAATAATATATTCATGAGTTTAATTTTTTTTAGTTTAAAAATGTATAAAAACCCAACCATCATTGATTACAGGTATAAATTTAAAAAACTTTATGTATCCCACCTTCCCAATTATCACCTACAACAGAAGCTACACCCGTCTTCAGTATCAACTCTTGAATATATAAATTAAAAGTTTAACAGTGTGTAACTTACATTTTCAAAAAATCATTATATTTACATAATATGTATAATATGTTGATATTTATGTAACAGTAAAAAAACATCTGAATGCTGAAATATATTCCATCATAAGGTAGTTTAGTATTTAACGATCTACTTAATTAAAAGTAATAAATGTGATCTATTTTTCATTAAGAAACTTTAATATAATGAATAATTGACTACCTACCTATTTATTTTTAATAAATTGTGCTTTTCATGATATAGATGTATACTTCACGAAAAGATCAATTACCTAAATAGACACGACATAACACTCCAAATTAATGTTCATATCACTCTTATTTCTATCTAATAATCTCATTTTCATTCTTCATCTTACATTTTTTCCATTCGCATTCATTGGTAAAACTCTGACCGCCTCTGACTCATGTTTTCTCATCACATGTCCAAACCACCCAAATCTATTCTTTTCAATATTTCTGATATATAAAATAATTTAATATTTTATAAAGTTATTCAATATCAAACATATACTTAACAAAAAAAAAATAGTTTTATCAGTTTAAAAAAAAAAAAATAGTTTTATCAGTTTTAAAAAAAAAAATGTATTTTAATTAATACTTACAATTTGCAAATAAATAAACAAAACCAATTGTCATTAACAGTGGGTGCCAATTAAATATTATTTTTGATTCAGAAAAACCAACTCCACCGCGAAAAACAAAAATCCAAAAACCCACAGCAAATATCAATAGTAATCCAATTATCTGAAAATATAAATTAATCAGAAAAAAAAACTTAATAATTTTAAATCAGTTTTTTTTAAATACCTGAAATACTATATACAATGAGAAATATGAAAAATGTTTGTCATCACTTTGGGATTGTACATTGTTTTGACTAAGTCCATTATTTAAAGCCATATTATTTGATGTTGACACTGTTTCAATTTTGCTATTCTCCAATTCTGATGTAACTGTAAAATAAATAACACATTTAACACATGTTCAGTATTATCATTAACAAATGAAATTTAAAAAATCTAGCTTACTACTAATACAAAAATAAAATGAAATAATTCGGGAGAAAATTAACGCCCCAGAAAAATTAATACTTCGAGCAAATGCCAAACGTCAGCACACTGGCAACAGGCAACCAAGCTGTCATGGTAACGACAGCGTAGACATAGTGTGGGGAAGACGTTAAACGAATTTAGATTGGTCAAAAGATCACGAGTGGACGAGAAGGGATGAGAAATACCAGCAAGACCAATTATCTCAACGATGAATGATAAGACATACCACGAATCCACGATAAATCGTGGATATTTCTTTATTATCAATATAAAAGACGAAAGCGTATTATTATTTATTTCATTCATATCAACCAAATTAAAATTAAATTATTCAGAAATGACAATATATTATTATTATACACTTACTTTTTAATCGTTTCCTAGTCATTTTATTTTCTAAGTTAATATCGTTTGATCAACCAACTGTTTAACTAAAATAATTGTAGTATTTCAACATTGGCCAATGATTATCATCGAATTAAAAAAAAAAAATACGAACGAGTCTAATTTATTTCGATAGGTAAACTTTTTGAATATTATTAACTAGGTACCTATATGTTGCTACTCGCGCATAATGATTTAATGCCAGAGTTATAATACAAATTAACATACATTTTAATCATTAATTTATAATCAACGATACCCAGTTGATAACCGTAATACACATTGTTGTATAAGAAAATATTATGTAATATGTTTATTTTTAATAATATTTTGTTAGTATTTATCGACAGCTCAACTCAATTCAAGGTACGAATAAACTGAACAGTCAGAATAAAGACATGTGAGCATAATATAACGACAAGCGTGAGAGTATGTACGTGACGGTGACGTGTTAATACAGATTAATAAATACGTTAAAAAAGAAGACCAACTACATTTGACAAATTAATTTATCATGACCAGTCAAAAGTTACATATTAACTACTGTATAGGTACCTACTTAATAATATAATGATTAATTGCAACGAAGTAAAAAATAAACCATCCACTCGTTTTATATAAGAGTGTTTACAATAATAAAATGATATAGGTATAATGATAATATTTCACTAAATTTATTGTAGATAGGTACTTAATATATATATATATATGTAAGTAATATCCATACCCATGTTTAATTATGTGATTTCCAACACGGGTGACACGATAAATTGAAAAATGTCAACGCATTTAGCACGCAATAAATAATATTTTTTATTTACTTATTTTTGAATCGTAACTGTGTGTGAATTAGATATACAATAAATGTTAACTTGGCGTTGTAACAAGTCCCGACCTCAAGTCTTACCTAAATCAAAGTCTCAATACTAAGAACATTCATCAATTTGTACTGTTTGAAGTACAACATTTTAATATAAAAGTTAAAACAATATACTTACTATAGCCGCTTTGGAAATTATAATAGGCAGGTAATAAATAACTAAGTACATAAATTATTGTTGTAACCGTTATTAATAATATGTACTTAATATAGTTTTGAACTAGTATAGTTTCACTGAATAATTGCAATAATATGTATCGCAATTTCAAACTTTGTAAATGCGTATCTATAATATAATATCTATAATCAACTGTATAGATAGGTCTCTCATCTCTTATCTGTAACCAATATTAACTCGATTTGTAAGCAATAACAATTTCCGTTAATTAAGCAATATTATTAATACTTATAAATTTGAATCAATTAATGTATGCTTAATATGTTACTATATTTAGACATTCTAATATAATATAAAATATTAACTTTGATAATTACTCACCTATTGAATATTCCGATGCAAGTATCATTTAATTAATCATTCAAAATTTGAAAGGTTAGATACAAGATTCATTAATAAATTAATTGTGTAAACTCAGTTTTTAATGTTCTCTAGTAAATAGCTACCTAGTATCTAATTAATAGGTGTAGTTAATATAATTTGCAGTTTTATTTTCAACCACATCAACGATAATTCAATTTACGGATTTGTAGGTAGGTATATCAAATGATTTTAAATTTAATATACGTACTTATATTATTAGGTGAATCATACATGGGAGTATGGAATTAAATAGCTTAGATAAAATCCAAAACCGTATCAAATGTTATTTGTCATGTAGTCATATCTATTAAATATTCTGTTTTACAGATAACACTTTAATATCTATCCGTCAATACCTTCATTGATTATAAATAGTAATTATTTTTATGCTGGGTAACTTAATTATTTTTCACACTTGAACGTAACACCACTGGTTCTTTCTCCGTTATGTACTTATGTTGGCTTTAATTTTATTGATACACATATTAAAGTGGGTTGTATAAAAATCTGTCTTTACATATATATGTAAATTTTTTTTTAAATGATTCAAATAATTGTGATAATAATAATAATTATTCAATGCATATCCGTTTTGTTATTTTTACCTTTTTTTTGTGTAACAATATAAATCAGTTTGGCTATAGACCAAATTTTATGTATTTTATTTTTGTTAAAAAATAAATGTTTGAAATATTTGAGTTTAAACAATTAAACTTTCGAATCTTATACGTATGGGTGATATGTGTTTGTTTGAGAGATCAATTTGCTTGATTATAGACTAATATTATTTTATTTTAAAATATTTAACTGATTAATGATTATTCTAAAAATCTGAAATATATTTACTAGCATTCTAAAATTTCAGAAAACTGATGAAAACCATTATTGATTCTGCTGCTGTGATGTGTGAATCTAGGTGTGAACCATTAGTATCAAAATTGTAAACCAAATTGGGTGTTGCTTGAACATTCGGTATTATTTACAGATATTTCTTCTTCAGGTGCCTATCCAATTCCGAATGTTAGCGACCATTCCAGCAATGCTCTCTCTGCTGAAATAGTAATGCTCTCTCTGTCGGTTGCGACGCAAAACAACTCTGATGTGCTATTTCTAAACCATATCCTTAGATTCTGAAGCCAAGATATTCTTCTTTCGTCAGGTTCTCTTTTTAAATATTTTTCCTTGTAAAATGGATTGAAGTATAAAATACCTACTGGCTACTCTCATTCCGCATTATGTATCATAGGTATTGAAGTTTTTTTTTATCTCAATTGTTCATTAAGTGTTGATGAATTTATTATCGATGTGATAAACTCCATTACCGAGTCCAAAATATATCAGGGATAGATCAAATCCGCTGATTGAGTTTGATGATGTAGATTTCAAACGACTCAGATACTAATCTAATCATAATCGCTAATAAAGTAATAACTCGTTTAATTTTTTTTGGCAAAAAGATTGCCACGGTTTAATTACTTATTATTGATCAATGTTCAAGTCTCGGTTATCTACTCTATGAAGATAACCGTTGTTCAGGGTTATCAAATATAAATGGTTTAATTTATCCGATAACACGATGTAGAGTAGAATATCTTGTCCGGTATCCATTATATTTAATCAACTGATTCATAACAAATATTTTTGCGCAACTCTATTACATGTTACAGAGCCATTATAATTTACAGTTGCCTGGCGTCTGTAATATATAGGAGTCTAAAAAATAATTGTACAGAACGTTTGTGCAACCCGGCCAGTGGTCAGCCTGCTTGCTATCTATGCAGGTTGTCATTTTGATTGCTGAGAATGTGATATGCCTCGAAAACATATGTTTTCTGATAAATGATAACGTTTATTTATTTTTAAGAAAGCATAGTTAATACTTTAATAATATGATTTAGGGTGTAACTTAATCCTTTCTGAATAACCTATGCTAGAAAATACAGTACATTAATTTCTACAGAAAGTATAATATGAAGCATATAAAAAATAAATACACATAATTGAAGTCTGTGATTACTGATTATAATATACAATATTATAGGTTAATATTCTCTTATCATTATTTTATCCACGGTATAATATGGTTACTTAATATTTGCAATATATGCAATCAGAATATCAGATGTATTTTGAGATAATAGATCAAAGAAAGGTCAGTCTTCATTTTCGACTTTTTCTCTCACTTCTGTCTTCACAGTGGTGAATAATTTTAATAAAATCACTTTAAAGTATTAAGCATCCATAATGATCCGTAACTTGAAATTAAGTGATAACATCGCTAAAGGATGTACCAAAGTTGTGACGACCACATACACCAAGTCACCGCTCGCAGTAAAATCATCCAAGAAAACTTTACCACCAAGGCCAATTTACCTGACCAACTTCACAATGCAAAGTAATCTTTTGTCAAAAAAATCATTAACATCAGTTACTGCAAACCAAGTTCGTATGATTCATACTGATTTTAAAGTCCCAGATTATACTGAATACCGTCGTGACTCTGTGAAAGACCCTAGGTCTTCTAGTGCTGATTCATATAAGACTCGTAATGGCTTTACTTACATGGTTCTTGGAACCGCCGCAACTGGCGCAGTGTTTTGCGCTAAGGCAATTGTTCATAAATTTGTCTTATCAATGGCTCCAGCAGCTGATGTTTTGGCTTTAGCGTCTGTAGAAGTTAATCTTGCTGAAATACCTGAGGGAAAAAATGCAACTATTAAGTGGAGAGGAAAGCCACTCTTTGTAAGACATCGTACAGCGGCGGAAATTCAAGCTGAGCAAAGTACATCATTGGCTGAACTTAGAGACCCGGAAGATGACTCAGTAAGAACTCAAAAGCCTGAATGGTTGGTAATCATTGGAGTATGCACTCATTTAGGCTGTGTACCAATTGCTAATGCAGGAGACTGGGGTGGTTATTACTGTCCATGCCATGGATCCCATTATGATGCAGCTGGCAGAATTCGCAAAGGGCCTGCACCATCAAATATGGAAATACCTCCTTACATATTCGTAGATGAAAAAACACTAATTGTTGGTTAATGTGTCAAAGTTTATGCACTTAGATTTACATAATTACATGTATGTTAATATTTTTTTTTTTTTTAATATACTATTTAAAAATTTTTTTTTGTTTTTAAATATCTTAAATTTACATTGAAATATTTAATTTGTATTTATGATGAAATATTTCATGCAACTACACACAGCTGATTATTATTTCAAGTAAAACATTGTATAACTTATCAAGTTTATAAACTAAAATACATTATAAATTAGGTAGCAAATTATTCGGTATTGAATATATTTAATCTATATTATTAGTATGACAAGTATTTACTACTAATTTAAGATTCTCTTAATTAATAGTTATAAATGATAATTGAAAATATATTGAAAATTATAACATATTACTTTTAGAGTTTTAAACAAAAAATATTAATGCAAATTATACATGGTATTTTAAATTTTATATTATAAATAGAATCATAATCTTTATTACGAAAATAATAAAATAGGTATTCCAATTTACAATTGATAATATATGATGAGAGTGATGCACCATTTGTAATATACATACATATTTTGCTGTGTCTATACGCCCAATGAAGGTCGGTATCATAATAAATGTCCGACTATGGGTGGATATATATTTATCAATTTATAATGGTACTAAATGCATTTAATTTTATAATCATATATGGGATTTACCCTTTACATTTAAGTAAATTAATTTAATTGAATGCAATATAAGTCAAAATTGGTCTAAGAACAATAAAATTAATATCAATAACATTTATGAATTACAAGTTATGACAATAAACTATGTGAATAATAAAAATCTATAACTATGTACAGGAAAAAATAGTAATTAAGAGTACAAATCTAAGAAGATAGGGTCAATATTGGTATATGTCATTAGGCATCTAAGCAATTTGTTTAGTTGATAGAATCCAGTGGCTCTAGGAATGTGGAAAATTGCATTGGAACGTGTTAAACGAGAAGGAATTTTAAAATTTACAGAAAATAGTAGGGTAGGAGAATTGTTTAGGTTAAACAAGATATCCTGGAAGAACTTTGCGCATACCATACGCCAACATTCAGCAGATGTCCAAGTGATTCAGCAACAGGAGAATTATCATGGGATGCGTGTGAAATACCTAATGAGAAACCAACAAATTTCAAAAACACGTTGCACATGCTCAAATTAGCTTGACCAACTAGCTGTAGGATTCCAGATAACAGATCCATATTCTAAGATGGGATGAACTAGTGAGCAATTTAAGGATTTGTGTGGACGTAAAAGTTTAAGATCTTTAGAAAACCGCATAATGAAACCTAAAATTTTAAATGGTTTACAGGTCTAAAGAACTTTGATCGTTAGAATAAAATCTTTTTGGCGGTTTAAAAAAAAATCTGTACTATAATTAAAAATAAATGTTTACTTTTTGTTTTTAAACCTTATACTGATGGAATAAATTGTTTCTCTTCTTCAAAAAAACAATTTATACTGACATATAAAGTTGAATTTATAAATTCTATGTTACAGTCTATGCATATTATATTTCTTGAGTATTTTATATTTTACCAACACGGTTTACTATTTGTTTAAAATGCTTTTTATTATATTGTATTTATTTTTTCCAAAATATGGTTTTCAATAATTATTTGAAAAATTGTAGACAAATGCTTAGTGAGCATTAATGTTTAGCCAAAATGAATACAGTCTTTTTTTCGTATTCGTTATACCAATATGGTTATTATCAAGATTCAATGTTATTAATATCTTTATATTTGCTACCAGTTCTTCTATACATAATTTACTATACACCCGATCTATAATGTAAATCACACTATTTTCAATTTCTATTTTCATAATCCTAATCTTCTATTCAAATATAGGTATATATAGCATGTATATTGTATATACATATTATACAGTAATCATTATTATTTTATAATTATTTTGATAACACATGTATACAAAAATTATTTCCTTGATACTTTTTTTCTCAAAGTAGTAAAATTTGTCTTGTCTTGTTCTTTAAAAAAAAATCTCAATGTAAAGAATTCTCAATCAACAGTTTTTTAAGACATGGCTTAAAATTGTATCCAGTAGCACACACTATGTGCAGTACTTATTTTAGGCTTTTATACATTTTTATTTGATAAATAAAAAATATTGATTATTGAAAATAATGAAAATTACTAATTAGCATGTATTCAATTAAAATCCTTATAACTAAAGATAATACCGACTACCGTCTGGGCAGAGCCAATAATGACATTCTTTATTTTTGTCTTGTCTGTCTAAATTCAACCCTCATTGAGAAGTTTTATATTGGTTTAAAGAAAAAAATAGGAATGCTAAGATACAGCTATATGCTGTTAAGCAAAAATGGTTTCAAGGGGTTATCTCTGAAGCTGAAACCTCAAAAAGTATTTCTTTTGCTGAGAATAATAGTACTAAAGTTTATTTTTAACTAAATTTAAATAATTGTTTTAACTGTTGTTTCCAGTAAAGTAGGTATTTATTATTATTTAATAATATAATAAGTATATTAACCCAAGCTATTTAGTTTTTAATTTTAAAATATCTAGTGATACATTAAGGACTTTTATAGAAAATTGTCTTAGATTGTGTTTATTTTAACTAATTATTAATAAATACCAAAAACAATTTATGTGGCATGTGTACTATTAGGTTATTATTTGTTCATTATTTAAAATATTTTGGTGAGTGAAATTGAGTGTGCAGTAGTAAAATACTCTAATTTTAGGCCTTAATTTAAGAATAGTTGGTTTATTTAATTGCATGCCAATCCATTTCTGACTGACCTAATAACAAATTATTAATTAACAGTATTTACTATTTTGTACACACATTGGCAGTAGCGCATTTAGGGGTGGGGGCGAATGACCACAGTGGCAAAATTTTAACTGATTTAGAGGCGGCAATTTTGTTGAGTACATTCATTTTTGTTTTTATCACAAAATGTATAACACTTAATAGCATCATTGATTAAGTTATCAGTTAGAACGCTGGAACACAGATTAAATTCTTTGCTATGTGGTCTTAATTTTTGTACCTCTACTACAAGCACAGGAAAAGTTCAGGTTATCCTCCACAAAACAATTTTTTAACGGAAAAAAAAGTCAAATGTTTGTAACAGATTTCTTTAATTGTATTTCATAGATTGATTAATCTATGATTTTTTTTTTTTATTTATAGGTAATTATTCTAAGCGTTGTTGTATAAATGTAATAAATATAAATTGTATAAATGTAGCACTATGAGTGCTTTTATGTCGAGAACGGTCGCCTTTTATATAAACTTTTCTACACTTTTCGACCCCAAATAATAAGTAATATGTGATAACAGATTATCGTATCAAATGATTTTGAGTTGAATGTAATATGAGTGAAACGACTGATAACGTATACAATTTACCTATGTCATTATTTGGTAAGGTTTTTTTTTTTTGAATGTAAAACACTTTGAAATAATTGTTAATTGTTAAACCCTAGGATATATATTTTAAAATGTTAGTCCAAACAAGCAAGGGACACATTTATCAGTAATTGAGGGTGGGGAAGGAAGGTTTGAAGTAAAGATTAGTGGGTGAAATATTTTGCAGGGGAGGGGGTAGCAATGAAATAGTTCCGCCCCGGGGTGCATATGTTCTAAATGCGCTATTACATATTGATCAAATAAATAGGTAGGTAGGCACTTATGAAATATATACATATATATTTTAAAATGTCCACACAGAAGAAAATGTAATATTACTATCAAAATTATTATCAACATCTCTATACTGATCAGGTTTATTATTATTCATGGAAATAATACATAAAATATAAATGTATAGAACTTTGATCTTTATTCCTGAGGTAACAAATCACGTTTTTTTTTAAAAAAAAACATCCACGCATTACTTCATTTTGAATATGTCGACGCAAATAACTTATAGTTGATTAATTTTTGTTGTAAAGACTAAAAAGCCCAATTCTTAATTTAAAAATAACTGAATGTTTATAGATATTATGATAAAATTGAATAGAAGCCTAATCTTTATTTCAAATTAATAACGTTTATACAGTAGATAGCATACTACACCCAAAATGTATTTCATTTACATTCAGTCATTGCCGCAGCTCCTCGCTTTTAATTCATTCCTAAAATGCTTCAGCGGCAGCGTAGTAGACAGTGAGTGTTTACATTGCCCTGCTAATATACGCAGCTTATATGTGCCGGTTAGGTTGCTGCTCGCGCTGCTCAATTTACCGCTCTTGACGGAAGCGTTGAGCAGCGACAATGCGAGGAGCGTGGTTAGCGCCAGTGACGTGTTCACATACTCGCGCTGCTCACTTTCATGCTTACTTCTCTGCTTATTGCCACGGAAGTGGGCTGAATGTAAACGAGACATAATTAAAGTATTATAATAAAGTAAGTATAATAATAAAGTATTTTAGTCTTGTCTGCATGTATTATCGATAATGGATATTAATAGATTTCTATACATCTGTGTATACGTGTCTGTGATTGAACCACCAAACGTGTGGTAGATAGCATTTTAAATTGGTGTTACAATGATGTACACACACTTTTTTTGATACCAGCAGTTTTGCTCCGATTTACAATGATCTAATAAATGTTTACGTTGTTCTTACGTTTTTTTCCAACTGTACAGAAAACTACCTATCAGAAAAATCAAAACGTATTCATCTCAATACACTAACTGCCTGGAATTTGCTTTCTGAAAAAATATTACACATTGATTCGCGATTTATGACTGTTAACAAACAGCAAAAAAAAAATACATAGCAAAACCAATGAAAAATAACTTAGATAATATAGTTAATAGTTATGGCCCAAAACAAATAGGCACCAACGTCATTTTTTATAACAATTATGCGTTATCGCAACATGAATGCATTATACGTGACATTTTTGTGTAATAATATTATTTATGATTTACTATAATAATTATTTATCCAGTTTGTTACTCGTACTGTTTGTCCTAAATTGCTTTATATTTTACAATAGCTAATAAGTAGATAGGTTAGTGGTGTCAATTCGTTTAAATTCCTGATGGTGTAGTAAAATATTTAATTTTTTGACCCACCCAATATTTCAATTACTTTGAAAAATCCCTGTCTAATAATTAATAAACAAATAATTTTCACATCTAACGGTTTTACATTTTTTACAAAAATCAACAATGAAAATATTGAATTATTTGAACAGCAAAAACTTTATTCGTTATATTAAATGAGTACTTACCTATTATATTTAATATGTGAGTGTAGACAGTGGACGAAGCAGTATGCCATTGCATCAAATTAACGTAATTTTGCTTGACGTACCTATTTCGTTGATTCCTATGATTTCAGTTTAAGAATTAGAATTGTCCGTGGACTTAAATATATTTATAGGTTGCCAAAATTTTTTCGTTCTCGCATGTAAAAACAATGATCGCGCCTCCCATAAATAAATAAATTATAAATTAGTATTATTTAAGTATTCAAACATTATATTTATGACAAAATAAATCAACAATAAATATTATTTAATTTCAATTTAAAATATTTTTGTATTACGAAGAAGAAAACAATGACTATTATAGTAGGTATTTAATTTTAATGCGAACAATGTGCTTGTTTTTCGTTTAAAAAAAAAAAGTGTATTTTATACCTCATAAATAAAATAGAATATGTAAAATATGTTGTGTATAATTTTCAACATTAAAAAAATTTTCGGGGTGGGTGAACCCCTACTCCCCCTATATACGTACCTCACACACGGTATTATACCTCAGTCATTCATATTTTAGATTCTGAGAGGATCGATGAATGTATTGCTTTACAATGTTTTTTTATTTTTATTTTTATAAACAACTTTTCTATTAGACATTTTGCTTCGAAGTGTAGCACTTTTCTAAAAAGAAATTGGACTGAGGTGGTACTTTCCCAGAAGTTTTCATAATAAATGGGAAAATACACGCAAAGATTTGTTGGCAATTTCAGAGTATTCATTTTAAATGTTATTCCAAAATCCTAAAAGTGACAACGAAGAATTAGATGAAATGTCGATTAATAATTGTTCTTCCTCTGTGGTGTTGATATTGATTTTTCAGTAAATAGGTTGTTAATCAAATTTCGTTGTCTGATTTCTTCTAAAAAATAATTCAAGAAATTACTTGTAAGTATAAGGGGTCATCAGATGATCAAAAATTATTGTTATTGAATTCGTTGGTAATTCAAGAATCAAGATTATTATCTTCAAGAAAATGTTTTAAAAGTGGAAAACAACCGTTTTCTTCTGTCAGTTTTCTTTGACATAGATCTATTTTTTTAATGAAAGCATCCACTTTATCATATAACTTCAGAATATGAGTTTCTAATTTACCTTGTAAAGATGTATTGAACAAATTAGGTTTTTCAAAAATGTCACATTTTTTAATATACCAATTTGATTACAAAATCACGTTTCAACGAAATTATCGCTGATTTAAAAATAACAATATTAACTTTGCATTTCCCTTGTAAAATACTTGTGCCTCACAGTTTGGGAACCACGCTGCATTACACGATTTCCAGTTTTCCACGAGACTATTATACTTAGTTACTTACATGTGGGTGGTTTTATAATTTTAACGTTTAATATCTTAAGGTTTTCAAAATTATCTGACTGATAAGCTTTAAATAGATACCTACCAATATATTACACGTACTAATACATAATATTACTGTAATCATACAATGCACCATAATACCACATCACGGTTAAAAAACCGCTAGTAATCGCTAAATTAATTAATTTAATAGTAGACTAGGTACTTAATGTAGTGGCTAATGGGTAATAGTCCGAAAAGTAGATAAAATACCTATTATTTAAAGTACCTATACAGAGTGATTTCTTTTTATCACTAACCAGACATATTCTCGGAAAATTTGAATTCTGTTTTTTTTTTTTTATCACTGTGTAGACGTTTTAGTCTTATTTTAAAACCGTTTTTAATTTTTACCCTTAATTCCATAAAGGTACCTTAAATGAGGATATAAACTTTTGTTTTTCAAATAAAAATACCCCCCCACCTTTTTTTTGAACACAGATTCGAAGAGAATATTTTCCTAAAACGTTTATTAATTAGTTATTTATAGAAGATGAGTTATAACCGTTTAAAGTTTAAACTGGAGAATTAAGGAAGAGTTATGAATTTATCATTTCAAAATAAATGTACAATTTAATCGTTTATAAATGATTATAAAAAAAAAAATAAAAACTAAATCAAATTCACATAAAATCCTTCGAGAAAAACGGTGGTTTATGATGAAAATAATCACTCTGTAGTATGTACACTTCAAATATTTTTTAATATCGCTGTTACGTGGTGTATATGTAGGTACGATTAAAAAAATTCATGTTGCAATCGTTAATCTACTACGACCGGCACGTGACGAGCAGTGACAAAGTGCCAAAAGACGCAACAGACCCCCCGGCGTTTTCATGCTCACCGAGAATACGACTTGACGAATTAACTCCTTCACGCGTTCATTGGACACTCCGAACAGGAAATCAGGAACAGCTGTAAGGGCCGAAGGTTGTTTGTTATCGATTTCGCTCGCGCGGATACGTCGTCGCCCGTGGCCATAATAGTTTCTGGGAATTTATTTGTATCGGTGGAGCGAAACTGTTGTTGAAGTAGTTGTATACCGGATAATCAAAATGTGTTAAACTGTTATCTACTCAGAGACGAAAATGTGTCACTGAAACCATTTTTTATAATATTAATCTTTATTTTTTTATGTATAGTACTATCGGTCCTAACGAACAAACAACTGCAGATAATGTATTTTTGTTAATGGAAAACTGATAATTTTTTATTACTGATAAGTTATAATGGTAGAATTATATTACTTTGCCGCGTAGAATTGTTCCCGTAGCTTAGTTTATATAATTTTGCCGTTGACAGCTCTCTACAACCGAACAACATGATATAATAATATTTACTACTTACTAACTAATTATCTACTTCTATTGAAATTTATATTAAATTATATATTTATATTTTTATTATAGTTATTTTTATTGTTTATTAATCAATTATTATTATGTCTACCTAATACTTTATTTTATTTTCATTGCATTCTCTCTTAATTAAAACAAAATTATGCATTATACATACCTAATATTACTATATTATAAAATTAAAATAAACTAAATACAATTAAGTGTCGACGCAAATTAAGATTTTTAAAGACCTAAAGTGATATTGAACAGCGACAACTAAGCAACAACACCCATAATTACATCTATATTTATACTCGTTCATGGTATGTACACTATTTTTTAATTTAATAAAGAATTTAACCTAACTAACATATTCTAATAGATTAAGAAACATGTTTTCAATCTGTTAATAATCTATTAATTATGTATCTGTATGTATTCATAATGTATATTATGTATCTGTGCGTATTAGATTTATGTATGTATATATATATATATATATATATATATAGATACATATTATGTATTAATTATTATAAAGAATAATAACTTGTACAACAGGTTTGATTGTATAATTGGATAATAATTTATTAGAAAAAGCATTACTTAAATTACCTATCTACTAGTTGATTGTTTTAAAAACTTATTGCCAAACTAGGTAGGTAGTTAAGTAGGTACTTATTATTCGTTCAGTATTTAGTTAAAAAGTTATTTGTATTATAATTTTTCAGTGAACTTGATTAATTAACAAACTATAAAAAAATATTAAGTACCAAATAATTTAGTTTTATATTTATTTTTCAAAAATTCCAGTGTATGAAGCTATAATAATAATAATTTTGTTTTGTTGGTAGGTACTGAATAAATATTTATCCTTATTATATGTTTTGATAATTCATAATTAATGTGTAACAAAGTTGTAAATAACTAACTAATTATCTATCTTAATATAATATAACTTAACGAAGTATATTGTTAGATTATGTACAGTATTTAACTTTTTATTTGTTTACTAACATGTATTTAGTTTTGGAAGCTATGTCACCATAATAATCGTTAATTGTTTATTCTTACTATCTTTTGTACTGTTAATGTTAGGTACTTACTTAGGTACCCACTAATTTATTAACTAAATATTAGTTCAAAGAACTATTTAAGTAACTAATGAATAATAGGTAATAATATAATAAAGTCATACCCAGTCTAATACAATAACTTTAACTATCTAACTAAAATAGCAAAGTTGAATACATTTTTTATTTATACTTACTTAAATTACTTAGTTTTACCAATTATTAATACTTACATAATTTACTTATTTTTACTAAACCTAATCTTACCATATTAAATTTCTAAAATAGGTATTACATAAGTATAGTACGGTAAAATAATATTAATATGTAATTCATTTTTTTAATGTACATTTCCTAAAAAATGTGTTATTTTTAAACTTGTTTTACATTAAAAAAATTTCAAAATATTTGTGATAGTTTATAATAAAGACATATTTCTTACATATTAAAAAAAAAACTTGTAAATATAATATTTGTTCGGGAACTGCCCAGACAATTTTTACCTGATATAATTTTCCATTTTTAGACAGCTTTTTATAAACTCTTAAAACTTTTATATCTTGTAGGAGCTTACTACTTATAGTAGGTAAGGTTTCAAAGAGTAATTGCTAAAAGGACAAAAATGGAAATTCTAATTTGCAAAAAATAATTTAGATGGTTTTATGAATGGAAACCTTTTTTAGTTCTGAAGCATTTTTCAATATATTTTAGATTTTTTCCAATGCATGTGGTGTCATTGAAAATAGCCGAAAAATGCGAAATTCAATAAAAATAAATAACTAAATCAAAAAATGACAATGACAGTCATTAGCAGACTGGAATTTGGATATTATATAATAATTTAGCATTTTTGCTGGGCTAAAATAATTTTATTCACATTAACTAAAAAAACTCAATTAATTTAAATTACTTTAAATAGCTCAACAATGTTCAGAATGTTTTGAAAATGTCATACTTAGAAAAAATTACTATAAGTTTTTTGAGAAAATTTTAGATACCTACACTGTTTTTTTTAAGTGAATTTCAGTAAAAAAAAAAATCAAAAATATATTTATGTAATATAAATATAATAAAAATTAATGTTTCCCATTTCATTTCTGAAAAAAGAAGATATAGTCTAAAAATTAGTTTAAGAATAAAAACTATTTTTTTTTGGATAATTTATGACTAACTATAACATTTACAAACGTTCTGATTTTCTTTGTTTTCTGAGGCGCCTAGAATAATTAGAATCAATAGTATATATAAATATAGTAGTATTTTATTAACTAAAAACAGTTTAAATAATGAATACCACTGAAAACACAAGATACATAGTATTTTAAACATCCTAGTTTGATAAAATAATTTCTATTTTATTATTTTATGTTTTATTTCATTATACTGCAAAAGCTTTTACTGTTAGAAAAAAATCTAACATTCAACTTGTAGTACATACAATATTTTTATAATAAAATAATAAAGTAAAACCAAAATTATTAAATGGTTAATACTCGTAAATAAATATATAAATAAATAAATTTATTTGTTTATATAAATAATTTTATGTTGGAAGGGAGAAATGAAGCAGACAAACTATCTTATACATACATTCTAGTTTATAATGTCACACATATAAATTGAATACAAATGGAGCTAATATTTTGATGAAATTAAGTAAATCCAATACTTGAGCAATCACACAAAAATAAAAACCCCACGAGTGATCCCATGCTTAAAAACCTATCTAATTGAACATTTCATGACATTGAATGATTCAGCAATATATTCATTATTTAATGAACACTTGTTAAAAGTAATAACAAGGGATATAAAAGTAAACAGTGAACCAAAAGAATCATTTAAATGTTTTGACCTTTACTAACTACTTTCACGTTTCTATTATATTAGTTTTATTACGAATATGCCATTTGAATTGTTTGATTTAGTGAAATTATTTTACAAATTCTTTTTCCGTGTTCTGATCAACAATTCACGTATTTTTTAATGCTTGAATTCTAAAAGTCTAATGCCAATTCAGCTATGTAGGTTATCTTGTCGTTAGCTAAAATAAGGTTTTCCATCATACAACTAATTTTCATATCTGGACATATTTATGAGGTTTTGTATCATACAGTAACCGCACTTGTCATCGTCATCAAATCCCCATACCTTGAGATTTCATCTGCATCTCGTGGTATCTGTTCTCAGCTGGTTTAAAGACCTCCACTCATGAAAAGGCAGATGAAATCTGGATCCTTCTTTTTTCAGTTCTATTATGGTTTCAGGTAAATTCTTCCAAAGTTTTACCCCCTGGGCCCCTGATTGTACCATGAGCTCATCTGTTGCAATTATTGAACTTTTCCATGATTTGAGCCTGGATGGTTGATTTTGGTGTTTAAATAATGGGTGTCGAAGGTAATTCTTTTGTTTTGAATTTTTCAATTTCACTGGCTACTTTCCTTAAAGAGGAGCTATTCTGATGATTGGGTAAATTTTCTCTTTGGTTGTTTGCTTCAAACATCTTGAGACTATGCGTGAACATAAAAGTGCTTTCCTTCCCTCCCATAACGCTTGAAACTATATAAAAACCTTGATAATTGAATTTCAAGCTTGTATAGTGGCTTTAGTATGTAAGCCACTGGGAAATACCTTAGCTTTCAGTACCCAATAAATTACTATCATAAAAGTATGAAAATTATTATAGGAGATTTAAATTGTCATAGCACAACCTGGGGCTATGCTGAAATAGGTGAAAGACTGGAAGATTTTACAAATGAATTGAAAACTTACAACAATTAATAAAATTATGATTGAAGTAAATATTGAAATATGATTAATATTGTCAAGTAAAAGTTTAGAACAAGGGTGGCTGACCTAAAATATTTGGAATGAATGCAAAGGAAAAGAAGAAGAAGAATATCAATACACATAATTAAATTAACAGTACCTAACCTATATTAAACAAATTATATTTATAAAAAAATAATTGTATTAGATTTTTTTTATTGTAGGTATTATGAAAATAATTATGTAGTTAGGTACAACCATATTACTTATTTATTTCAACAATATTTAATAGATATTATTAACTGATTTGTATAGATTATTTCAATCGACAAAATAATAATAAATAATATTTAATAAAATAAAATATTAAAATAATTATATACCTACCTAACTATATTTTATAAATATAATAATGAAGATTTATTGGTATTATATTTGAAGATTTCTGATTGTATAGATATTAGCCATCATACTAAATTTAATGTGATATTTGTTTTTAAAAAATGTGATAATTTTATATATTAGATGTCCTAACTAATTGCATGGAGAAAGAAAAATGGAAAATCTTGGGCATAATGTATTCCTACTATTTAGAACAACTGATTTTTGTCATTAACTTTAAATCATAATATACATTTGTTTATGTTAATGACTTGTACCTATATATAATAACGTGAATATATATTTTCAGAATTAGTCAACATACATCGAAACAATTATTTTCAATTAACTGCAATGAAATATGGTAAGTTTTTTTTTGGATACAAAAATGTTTGAGATTTAAATGAAATAAAAGCGGATATTATTAACTTAAAACCATTTGTTCTAAATAAATCAATATTTTGGTGTTACTTGTCGTCGAATAGTCTAGTTATTTATTAGGTATGTACATTTTGGAACATTATTTTTATTATAATATTAAAAACTTCTAAAGAGACTTTATTATTAGTATTAAAAAGAAGTTTTATATAAAACAATTTATTTAACAGTGGTTCCAGAATTCTTTAGTTTATTATATTAGGAAGTATCTATTAGGCATGGGTATTATTTAACATTTGTCCAATTGTTTTATATTTACTGAATTTATAGTTCTAAAAGAAAACATATTCAATTTTTTTAAATATTTATTTGCATAGTTATATAAATGTGCATAGGTTTATACAAGATGATCCATTTATTATGATTTAGTGATTTTCTTGCTGGATTTTAAGTGAATTTTAATTCCGTGTTTTTTTTTTTTGAATCATTAAATAATAATTTCAATTTTGGGCAACACTATTTATTTTAAATTTGATACCAATTTTTCATTACAACTTAAATGTGTACACATTTATGATTTTCAAATAGAAATGTTTCACTACTGTTTCAAACATAGATTTAAATAAAGATATTTGTCTAACCTTTTTGATGTACATAACACTTATATATTGGATTTAATATTTATGAATTATATAACAAGGGTCTAGATTTAAACGTTTTAAAATTATTGAATACCTAAAATCTATCTATTAAATCAAATTTCATGAAAACTAATTTTTTTAAAATAATATTTTGAATATCTAAAATTTAAACTATTAATTTGTATAATGTGTGCATATTGTACACTTAAAACTAATAAATGGCAAAATAAAATTTTAATTTTGAAGTATACATTACATTAATCAAATTATGTACATGGAAAACATTATTTTAGATTACTCTTCAAAAAATGAACTTTTATTTTGAAACCTGAACTCTAGTTATAATAGTTTAAAATTTAGATCAGAAGTGTAGAGAAGGGAAATAAATGCTTCTAGTTTAAATTTTAAACTGTCATAATTTATTAATGGTAAATACAATATTAGTGATATGCTTATCAATATGTTTAGACAAATATCCTGTTTTCGAATCAGTGTTTTAAAAAAGGGTGGTTTTATTTAGAAATTGAACAAGTTTACGGTATTAGGTAGTATAAGTAGTAGAGGTAAAAAATTGAAAATAAAAGCTCAATCAATTCCATTAAAATTGAAAAAAAAACTTAAAACAAATTCACTTAAAATCATTTGAGGAAATTATAAATATGTAATTATAAATACATTATGAGTTATTTATAGTAGATGAACTTAAGTGTTGAATATATAAAATAATTATATGGATCTATTTATCTAATATAAAATAGTAATAGATAAATTAATACCTACATAGAACCATTTTTACATTTTAATGTTTATTTTTAAAAAATATATAAATAATGTATTCATTAATGATAACAATATACATTGTATAAACAATTATGTTGTTGTGGACAATTTAATTTCATAGAAGTCATAATCAGTACATTTCTTTTGTACACATTTAATTTAAGAAAAATATAAATAAAATGTTATTAACAGAAAAACATGCTTTATAAACATTTCCTTATATGTTTGTTAAAGAGGATTTTTTTTTTTCTAAATTTATGTGTGTAAACAATTCTGTTTATAAATTTATTGTTAACACAACACTTGTTATATGAATAAAAAAATAAAATAACACTTGTTCTAAGAAATAATGCTATTATTGAATTTAAAACTAACACAAATAAAACCTGTTTACACTTTCATATTGTAGATCATAACAGTATTATTAGTTACTTTTATAGTTATCGTTTTGTGTAATTTTATGTCTGTATTTTCCTGTATTCATTTGTTAATGTTTATATGGAAATACAATAGGTTATTTATTTGAAATATACGTAATTTTTTGCATTATAATTTAATATATTAATTAATATTGAAATATTTTTATTTTAACTATTTATGTTTATTTTGAATGAATATGATTAAGGTTAAAATTTAAAATGTATACTACTAAAATTTTTAATTATTATAATTCATAACTTTATTTACAAATTATTAACTAAAATATATTATTAATTTATTGGTACTTGGTTACTAGTTCTTTTTAGAATGAATAATATTATTTTAATTTTAGAAAAATAATTACGGAAATCAAAAAAAAAAAAAAAACATTTGTTTAAATGATTCTTTACTATGAAACAAAGGAATACCCCTCCCAATTTTATTCCCTGGTTAAATTGTAGTAGGAGATTATTTTTATGATGACTTAGTGCTAGCCTAGTTAGACAGAGTTGTGTAAAAAAAAAAAAAAAAAATGGTGACATTTTAGATTTTAATAGTGTAATACTAGGTAGGTAATTAAATATTTTATATTTTAACAAAACGTTTTTAAACAGAAATAATATATTAATATGTCATATATAAAGTCAAAAAATGATCTATAGATTAAAACAAAATTATTCTAAAGGAAAGAGAGGTCAGTTTAAAAACAGGAAAAGTAATTATTTTTTTAATAATTTATTTAGATTTTGTTAAAATAAACTATTGTATCAAAAAAAATAAACCATAATATTCATAACTAAAATTGTATGATTGTTTTAATAATAAAGAAATATTAAATATATTATTAATAAGGGTTGTTTTTCTTTTTCAGAAATTTTATTTTTTAGCCGACCAGGCTTAAAAAAAAATGCTTTATTAACTTTCTGTATTGGTGTAATATTTGGCATATTTTTTGCTTATACTACAGTATCAATAACTGAATGTCATTTTAAAGATTTTAAAATACTTCCATCAAAGTTTTCATATGATAAAAATAGTTACTATGACCGCCATTCACATGGACATGGTCATGATAATGCAGGTTCATTTAATGATTCAGTAGTAATGAAAGATCACAGTGAAAATGAAACATTACACTTTGGTAAGTAAAAAAAAAATACAACTAAATTAAATTTTTTACATTAATTGAATTCAATTTTAGATGAAGATCTTGTTGCTCAAGAACTTAAAAAACGAATTAGAGTTATCTGTTGGATCATGACTAGTCCTAGTAATCATATTAAAAAAGCAAGACATGTAAAAGCTACATGGGGTAAACGTTGCAATACATTACTTTTTATGAGCACCGTTGAAGGTTAGAGTATATATAACCTATTACTGTTGAAAAGTAATTAATTATGATTTTACATTTTTTAATAAAGATAAAAGTTTACCTTCTATTGCTTTATCAGTTAAAGAAGGTAGAGACTATCTTTGGGGAAAAACTAAAGAAGCATTCAAATACATACATGAACATTATAAAGATTATGATTATGTACTGAAAGCTGATGATGATACGTATGTAAAATTTAATTTTATATTTAGAGCCATCCTTACAGTGGTCCTGTAAGAACAGTCCTTATTGTGTTAAAATTTTACTATTTAAACATAATTAATGTACTCATTTTACTTACTACTCAAATGTACATTATAAATGACTTTACAGTACGTAAAAACTTATATTAAAATTAAAAATACATAGATTAAGCAAATAAGATGACATTTTATGGAATCCTTAATTATGTAACAAATGTTTGATTACTTTTATGATTAAACTTATAAGAATAATTTTTTGATCATACATACATATTTTATACATTCACATTTTACACTATAAGTAATATATTCAGTAATATATCAACATCCAACATACTATATCATCATATTTGATTTTATATGATGATTTAGTCATTCGGTAACGTAATATAGTTAAAAAAAATGTAGTGTTTCATATTTCAAACAAACAATACATCAATGTCATACAATAATATTTAAATATGTTTTTACTTATTTTCAGATATGTTATAGTAGAAAATTTGAGATATATGTTAACTTCATTTGACCCAAAAGATCCAATATACTTAGGTTGTAGGTTTAAACCCTATGTTAAACAGGGATATATGAGTGGTGGTGCAGGTAATTAACAAATACTAATTTTATTTAGTAAATGTATTTTAAAACTATAGATATTGCTTAATAAAATTAATAAAGAATTTTAAATTGTTCGTTATTGTTTAAACATTTAATGCATACTAACAAAAGTAATTAAATTAGGGCTTGATTAACATATTAACATAGATATTTTATCTTGTTTGTAAATATTTTTAATTTTATTTTATTAAATAATTCATACAAAATAACTAAAATATAGGAAAAAAAACCTTAAAGACATAATATAAAAATTTACTTATTTTAGGTTTTACCTAAAATATTTATTGTTATTTCAATATTTAAAAGAGCTGATATTAGGGATTGGAGTGGTCACTGTTGTAAGTTAGAAGTTGGGAAGGTATGATACAGAAGGTTATTTCATTTATATCTATAAGCAAAACCATTGCTTGATGAAAGACAATTCCAAGCATAGTTCGATAATACATAATTTAAAGTGTCGTAATTTTATTTGCGATTATTGTTTAAATTTGATTTCAAAACGCTTATAAAAAAAAAAATTGTTAGATGATTCTGGAAATTTTACTACATCTATGTGTGTTCAATATAAGTATTATTACCAAGTTTCAAGTCTCTATGTGTATTTATGACTGAATTACAGCAAAAAATTCCCAAAAATTAAAATTTCTTAAAAACTCAAAAGTTTTGGCAATTATATCGTAAGAAAGTAAAAAAAAAATGTGTCTTGTAATTTTTTCGATTAAATCATTTTTTCTTGTAGAAAACGTCAATGTTTTTATAAAATAACGAAAAACATGAAATTGTACATTTTCCTACAGTTTTTCCCACTTATGTGCTTTTATTTTAAAATATCTGTTTAAAGTACCATCTAAACAACTTGAGCTTTCAGAAAAATTGCTACATATAAAAAATTGGAGCAAGTTTACTAGAAAAAAAACGTATCCACAGACTAGAAGAAAAAAAATAAACATCTTAGTAAAATCAATAGCTCCCTTGCTACGCTCGGAATTTAAAAAATGAAATTGTACCCTAATGTAATCTAAACTAAGAATAAATTTAGAATGATACATCAAATGCAATCTTTATTTATCTTCCATTACTTTTTAACAAGGGTTAAATTGTGTATTTAATTCATAATTTTCACTTATAAATAAATACAATTGAAACCCAACCAAATTTGATGAGGTATAAAAAACCTATTCAATAAGTATATAAATATATATATATTTAAGATATATTTTTTGTTTTACCTAATATTTTCTATTATATATTTTATACTATGATAATTATTTTAGGTTACTTGTTAAGTAAAGAATCTGTTAAAAGATTTGTAGAAAAAGCTTTACCTCATAAACAGTGTCGTCAAGATCATGGAGGAGCTGAAGATGTTGAAATAGGTAAGTTTTTTATCATAAATAAATTACTTGATTTTTATTATTTTGTTATAGTATGATGTACTATAACACTAGTACTCAGTGGGGATTTTTTTCTTTTGGTGTGCCCAACTATTATGGGCAGGTAAGACTTTCTTTCCCAGATTAAATGTGAAATTTAGAAATTATTCATGTTTTTTAGTTTTCAAATAAAGATTTTTCCAAAATATAACCAGAGTTTGGTTGGGTCCCAGACTTCTAAAAAGATGACTCTTTTTAGAAAAATATGATTATTTCAATAATATTGCTACTTCACTTTATAATCTAAATATTTACTTGTTCTCATCAGTTGTATATATTTGTGGTATTTGACTGCATTTACATATTATTATTTTGTATTTAGGTAAATGCCTTCAACTGGTTGGAGTAAAAGCAAAAGATTCTCGAGATAATTTAGGTCGTGGGCGTTTCTTTCCATTTATTCCAGAACACCATCTTATACCTGGACATTCAGATCCAAATTTTTGGTATTGGAAGTATATTTTTTACCCAATAGTTGAGGTAAAAACAAAATTATTACATATTTGAATATTATATTAATTTGTTTTTTATTTTAGGGTATGGATTGTTGTTCTGATACGGCAATTTCATTCCATTATGTTGATCCTGATAATATGTATGTACTTGAATATCTAATTTATCATTTGCGGCCATATGGAGTATCTCAAAATGTTGACCCATCTATCATAAATAAATTAGACCTAAAAAAGGAAAGTAATATCACTAAGACTGATCAGCTGACCAATAAAACACATCATGTATAAATTTTATTTTTATGCTGTTAAAATATTTTATTAAGTAGTTACAGTATTTACTTTCTGTTGTATATTCGTAATTATTAATTTATTAATTTATTAGAATAAATAGTCCTGTGCCATTTATATGTTCTGTTCATACATAGAACGTTTTACTAGTCAACAACATTTTGGAGAATCCTAGTCAAATTGCTCATAAAGTTCTAATTGATGGAACTTGATTTCTTGATTTTCTTTTCATATTATTTATCTGTAATAAATAACCATGCACATTGTTTAATAATTTTGGGCTCATTATTTTTTGTTAAACTAATAAATTATTGTAATTATATAATTTAATAATAATTACAATAATTACGCCCTATGAACCAAAGATATTGTTTTATACTAGCTTATAATATTGTCACTTATAAATATTTTTTTACTATTAGTGGTTTATTTATTGTTTATAAATATATATTTACAAAATTAATATAGAAATTGTATTATTTATTATTATATTGAAATAAAGGGAACTTATATTTTGATAAACTGATTTATTTTAGAGTGTTATTTCATTAGATTTAAATGTACAACTTTTAAATTGTTATATACATTTAGTCCTCCATTAAACCAGTTTAAATGTATTCATGACTATTATGTATACTATTTATCATATTTTAAAATCTTTATTTTTATATTTTTCTTAGAAAATGTCTATAAATTATATCAGTCCGTATCTAATTTCTGTTAGTGTATGACTGCCTACCATATAATTTTGGTTAAATTAAAATAAATTGTATTGATTCATAAAATAATGAATATTCAACCTTATAAGTTTTGTTGTTTTTAATTATTTGAATGGATTTTAATTTTTAGGAACTTAGTTATTATTAATAGGTAGTCTACCTACTTGTAAAAGGTATCTTGTTTAGTCTCATATTAGTAATATTTTTCACTTAATTCTGTTTCATATTTCTAATCCATAATGTTTAACAAAAAATGAATACCTATATTTTTGATTATTTTGTTTATTACATATTTAGTGTAAACATATTTATATACTTTCAGAGTGATATAATACAATTTTTTACTTTGTTTATTGTGGTATACATAATTTTGAATGAATTAAAAAATTATATTGTAAAACGCATTTACTACTTTTTTGTTTTTTGTTTACTATATTATTACAATCTCTGGTAAATAAATTGACATTATAGAGAACACTTAAGTATTAAAAAACTACAAAAAATTCAATTCTAACACATATTAACAATTAATTACAAGTTTCAGTTGAACACAAAAATATACTACTGCATTTCTATTGTAATGCTAAATGTACGGTTTTACTGTTTTTATTTATTTATTTCTAATAAACACCAAACAACCAATACATCATTTAAATTTCTAATAGTATAAGTTCGTGTAAATTTAATATTAGTATCATTTTTAATAATAAACAATCCAGTAAATGCAAAAATTTACATATTGATATTATGTACTTATGTATTGCTCACAACTAAATGATAGATATGTCATTAAATAAATAGGATATTTTCAAATCATCAGTATACTAATTTATTTGTTATTTATAATACAGTAGACTCAATGTTATTAATTAATAATTTGTGACTGATACCTGCGTCATTCTGAGGCGGTTATAATTTAGGTAAACTAGATTTAGAAACAATGGTATTGCACTTTATATACTAGCAGCTACAAATAAATGAGACAGTTTTCTGTATTTATTTGTAAATATTTCAATATCAGATGATCCATTTAAGTGGTTACACTCATTATTTCTGAAAGTATTAACTTATACCGGAATTTGTTTTTTAGAAATTTTAGAAACAAGCAGCTCAACAATTTTAAATCTGTTATTTTAACATAGTGGTTTTACCCTCAAAAATAACATAAATGTATAATTTTAGAGCTGCTTGTTTCTAAAATATTCTAGAAAATAAATTCCAGGAAAAGTTAATATATTCCAAGATAATAAGTGTACCCACTTATATAGATTACCTGGAAAGTAGATACTAGGTAATAAAAAAAAAAAAAATTCTAAAATGTAATATCTTGTTTATTTTCAATTACAGTAAAATGTATGTAGCTAATAGTACGATGAGACAAATCCCCTAGTTTCGTTTTATTTTTTTTCTGATAACAATTTAAACCTAATATGCTGCGATAAACTAAATAACCATTTTTATGATGTTAGTATGCACTTAAGTATTTCTCAGCTTGTGGTTTGAATAATATAGGTAACCATAATTGTTATTTATATTAATGCAGAGGGGAAGTCTCATTAAAAAACCAAAAGTCAAATCTTTTTTTATTTTAAACAAATAGTACCTACCAGCATGGGCTCCTGGAGGAGAGGGGTGCAAAATGAGGCATCTGCTTTCCTAGACTTTAAAATTTCAAATATAATTATATTTTAAGAACATTTTGGTGTTTGATTTTAATATGCCCCTACCTGATCAATTTTCTGTAAACTCTCATGAGTACCAGTATATTCATATTTTTAAATTTGTATGTACTTGTGCAATGAATCATACAGACACGAGTATCTATTGTTTATTTTGTGATATTACTCAATTGGTAACATATAATCATGTAAGTATCGACAAAAATAAAAATTACAAGTTATACGTATTATTAGGTATGTACTATTTTTTTTTATCTTTCTATTTCAATTACACATAATGTTTTCAAATTCTGAGCAGAGCGAGGAATGTATTGGTTTTACAAAAATTTTTTTTTTTTTTATATACGTGAACACTTTCTATCATAAAGCTTACTCCGATGTATACAATGTAAACGCTTTTTTGAAAGGAAATTTTCTCGGAGCGGTACTTTAATTAAGTCATTTTTTGATTTTTCCCAACAGTTTTCCTCAAAAATAGGAAAACCCGAAAAAAACGGGAAAATGTTCGAATGTGTAGTAAAATATTATGGCTATTTTTTTCCTGTTCACAAACTTTTCTACCAGAAATTGTTCTCCAATTTACAAAGATAGTACTTTTTCTGAAAGCAAATTTGACTGGGGATGTACAATCGTATTTTCGTTAGAAATGGCTAATCGCTGCTTACAAGTATACATTGAATGCCCGTCTATATTCTATCTTTTTAACTTCCCGCCTACAATAGTGTCTGCACCGTCCTCATTATCCTAGGACAGCGTTTTTTAATCATGAATCAGCTTTTTTCAAACATTTTTTTTGCACATCCATACGTCAGTTCTTATTTCAGCGTTTCGCGTTAAAGGACTAAAAATGAACCCCGTGTTAAATTTTACGTTCGGCTAACTGAATCACCTCCCTAAAATTACGTCGTTGGTAAATTTATCCTATGGTGTTTTTGCTGGGGACGGTATATATAACATTATCGGAGGTCTCAAAATCCTATGACACCGGTTCGCGGCCCGACATAAAACAAAAATAATTTTATGATTGCCTTTTACGTAGGTAAGTGGTAAATATAATTATCACGATATAACACACTGCATTAGTACACCAATATACTTTATGATACACACGTAGTAAGGTGTGGCGTGTGCGCTATTATATATAAACTATAGGTAGGCGAAATCATCTACACCGTCGACGACTAGGAATTCCAAAACATCGGGGAAATGCGCAGAGCACGCGGTGTCACTTATCTTACTGCACGAGCATCTGCGTGCGTGTGTTAGAGGAGGAGCCAACAAAATTCGAAAACGCCAAATTTTAGTTTTGCCCCAAATCGATCGATAATTAAAATATTTTTGATCTGAAAAATGATACAGATTCAAAATAGTAATGCCTAGCGCGATCTGGCGGTCAATTTGTTGTGTTTCTCAGATTATACAAGAATGTTAGAGTGCATTATTATGTTATTATGGATAGAGTGCCTAGACCATGGATAAAGATCTTTTTTAGTCCGTGATGGGCAATTTAATTTTGGATAATTATAATCACGATCAGAAGATATTTAATTATTTATTATTTTCCGTGACCGTAATCGTATAGCATGATTGTATTAAAGAAATCTGTTATACAATTAATTAGTTAATCATGGAACCTACAACCATGACTTTAGATAAACGAGGTTGGACAACTCTATATGCATGGTATCTTTTATCTATCATGATACTGGAATGGCGTGATCTATACCCTACATTGTTTTTGTCATTATCAATATTGATAATGATTAGATGTTAGTATCTGTTGGTAAACACGTAAATGTATTGTTCCATTTTTTAATTCCATAATTTTAATAATTGTATCAACGAGGAAGTCTGTAGAAGTTAAAATATTTCCTTTAATTTTCTATTGTCTACTATATATTTTATTATTAATGAATACTCTTGTAATTAATAGACTATAGTGACAAATATATTTTTAATTTCAAACACCAATTATGGCTCTTGGACATCAATCGGAACCACAATATGAACTTTTGAATGGAAAAAAGTAACATTTAATTTCACTACTAATTTTTCATTAGAATTTATTCAATTTATCATTATGTATTTTAAAATTCATAGAAAATATATTCAGCCAATTGTACATACTATGGTATTAGGTGGACTAGCTGTTCTTGTGATATTTGTTGTAATTTTGATGTTTTATGTATCATGGATGAAATTTGAAGATGCAAACGATCAAAATACTCCCATGGACTTTGTTCTTTTTGGTCCCCAAAAATATACAAGTAAATTTTACAGTTTTAGTTATTTTACTTTTCTAGTAATTAGTTAATATTTGTTGATCAAATTCTAATTTTTTTTTTTCACGTAGTAATCATTTATTTTATTTTAGATTCAGATACAATTTCTTATCGTGCTCATACACTTGCTATTGCTGCAAAATCCAATTTTAAAACTAATTGGACAGCTCAGTACAAAATCAATCTTCAAAAACGAATTGACAAGACATATCATATGGCTTGTTATTATTCTATTCCAGCTGAGAATATTAGTACTTCTCTTCTTCCTGATCAAATTGACTCTCATCTATGTACTCATTTAATTGTAGCATTCGCACAAGTTCAAAATAACAGTGTTTACTTTAAGAGCTCATTTGATATTGAAGTATGTTATTTAATTATGATCATTAAAAAATAATTCCATTTTTCTTATATAATATGTAGACACCTACTAGGTATTTAATTAAAAATTCCAAACATAGTTTACATATTGAATATTATTAAAATAATTTTGTTTCTTTCAGATTTTACGACAGGTTGTTAAATTACGAAAAAAAAATCCAGATTTAAAAGTATTATTATCTATATTACATTTTTCAAATGGTACCTATTCAAATGAAGGTTTTCCTGGCGTTGTTGAAAATAATGACAATTTAAACAAGTATGTTTAGTTAAATAAAGTAAATTAATTAAAGTAAGATTCTTTCTTTTGCTTAGAATTTAATATTTACTTTTTTTTTTGTAAAATGATAAATTTATAAATTTAATGTTTTAGTAATTTGTATTACGTACATACTTAATATTTAATGTATATCATATTTTATTTATTTATTTTTTTTTTTATAGATTTGTCAATGATGTGGTGTCAGTCATCAGAGAATTCTATCTAGATGGTATTGATATTGATTGGGAGTTTCCTTCATGGCCTTTATTAAATTTAAGAGAAAAATATGGATTTTCTAAGTTATTAGAAACTTTACATAACCACCTACCGGATTCTCTTTTAACTGCAGCTGTTGCTGCTCCATTAAATATCATTAGTAATTCTTATGAAATTTTCTCTTTATCAAAGTAATTAAAAAGATATTATAAATTTAAATATATATCTAATAATATACCTTTTTTTAGGTTTGTTGATTTTATAAATGTTATGACTTATGATTACCATTCATACCAATGGTATTTTCCATTAACTGGGCCGAATTCTCCTTTGTTTTCTCCAAAAAATGAGAATGGATTATTTCAGAATTTGAATATTAATACTTCCATACAATATTGGATATCAAAAGGCATGCCTAAAGAAAAGATTTTACTCGGTATGCCTACATATGGACATTCTTTCAAGTAAGTTTATTTAGTAAATTCAATGTTTACAAGATTTAAGTAACTAATAAAATATGTTTATATTTAGATTAATAAATGAAGCCAATAATGGTTTCAATTCACCAACTTCTGGTCCTGGTATTGGTATTGGCGGTTTTGTAACCTTCCCGGAAATATGTGAGTTTATTTCACGTCAACATACTACAACTATTTTTGATCATGATACTCGTACACCATATTCATATAATAAAAATGATTGGATATCTTTTGATAATGAAAATAGTATTGCCTATAAAGCAGAATTTGTTACTTCTTTAGGTTTAGGAGGTGGTATGTTGTTTTCTTTAAATACTGATGATTATAGAGGTTCTAGTCTTTGTTTTAATACAGTATTTCCATTATCTTCTAGATTAAAATTAGTACTAAATGATGACTATTTGTAAAATTATAAAATGTCTGGAAAGTTTGTATAAAATCAATAAAATGAAGGAAAAAAAATTAGATAGTTTTGATCGAGCCCCCCTCCCCTTACTGTTTTTGTCAATATTAAAGAGTTATTTTGGTGAAATTTGGCGATGATAGCACAACCTTTTCATATGCTCCATAGTAGTTGAAAATTAACCAAATGAGGGAAGCTTTGATAAAAACATATCATGTTTAAATTTTAAAAGCCCAAATTAAATAAAATTATTACTGTAGAAATTTCTGTTTATCTTTTCGTATTTAACAATCAAATATTAAAATCATCCCTACATTTATTTGATGAATTATTATTGTTTGTTCATATTTAAAGTTGCAGTTTTTATGATTTTGAATAATTTAATAATATTTATTTTTATCGTAAAAGTTTTTTTTAAAAAAAACTGACAAATTATATACTACCATACCAAGAATATTTAAACTTTTTAAAAAGTAACGCAATTCAGTAAATATTATCATTTATGTGTGAATTTAGCATTGGATAATTTGAATAATAACACTATAAATAAAGTTTATTTTTGAACTTAAGAAAAGTAAAAATAACAAAAAAAATGTGTCATTAATTAATTGATGCAAAAGTGACAACGATACAATTTTATCATGTTTGCTGGTGTTATAACAAATTATTAATTTTTGTCTACCATAATTATTTTATTGATGAAAGTTAAGTATTTTTTTTTAAATTTTTATCAAATTTAAATATATTAAGATGATTATATTTTTGTATAATAAAAAATTATGTGTACTATTTGTCTATAAAATATTTTATCCTTTAAATCAATTATTTATCCCCATATCAGCTCTGTTCTCTTCAAAATAATTTATTCAATTAAAAACATTATCTTTGCAAATTTCATTTTTTCAAAGACTTATTAAAAATTTTAGAGTTTATTATTTTTGTTGATTATTGAATATTTTCTAATTAATTAATGATTTTGTTTACTTATTTTTTTTATTATATATTTATAGTATACAATATGAATGAAAAATATTTTTTAAACTTTCATCACAATAAAAGATTTAATTTTAGAGATGAGACAAACTGTTCGATTTTCAAACTGAATCAAATTCTCAATAGTTTGGTTTGAAAATCATTTGATGCCAATTCTGTGTGGTCTCTAATACGATATTCTATAGTTCGGCCTTGTTATAAAAAAAAAATTCTATTGTTTTCATATTAGTGGGTATAGTAAATAAATTTGTAGAATTTTAGTATAGTAAATCATGGACGTCAGCAATTTGAGAACCTAGGTTTTTGACCTAACCTAACCTAACCTTTTTATATTTTTTATGTTCGAGTGTGATAAAATATTTTAAAAGTTCAGTTTTATTCTAGTTTGTATAAAAATGTATAAGTTCAGTTCAGTTTGAGTTTGTTAATTTAAGGAAAGTTTAGTTTGGTTCAATTCGATCTTAAAAATCAGGGTTCGTAACATCTCTAGTTAATTAATAATTAGATTAAAATTTATGAATTTAATAAATATTACAATTTGTTTGAAATATTGTTAATATGGTAGCTATTTTTTAAAATTATTAACCACTGAACAAAAGACTTGTCCAACTTCACTATTTGACACCTATACTATACTATACTATACTTGTGATATTAAATAAACAACTATTTAAAGTTGTATAAAATATAAAAACAACACATCACTAAGTTAATAAATAGATAATAAACATACTAACTTACAGACTATTTCTACATGTACTAGGTAGTGGTTGTTTATCCATAGTTATGACTAAATAAAAGTGCACAATGATACAATTAAATATTTAATATGATGATATATAATATATCCCACTTATTGGTCAAAACTCTCTACCTACAAAAATTATCCATTTTGTACTATTAGATCAAATTCCATAAAAATGCATTTACCTTTACTTAAGTACAATTTTTCAATTTAAAAAAATTGACAAATATTTTGGAATACCTTGTATTGTTTAAGTATTAAATTAGTTGTTTTTAATATTTTGTGATTTTATTGTTGTAATCGTATTAATTATTTGTTATATAACTATCGAAATATTTAGTATTATATTTATTATTGTTAAGAAGTTCAATAAATATAATTGTATTAATTATTATTTTGTATCAATATTAAGTTAAATATAATAAGTAATAAGTTTAATAATTCAAATTCTTTACTTTAAATTCAAGGAGTAGTGAGGTAGCTATTAGTTTAAAACTGTGTTTACATTCATAGTTTTATTACAAATTTTTTTTGTGTAATTTTTAAATTAAATTTTTATTACACTATAGAATAACATTTCAATAATTAGATTAAAGAATATAAAAAAAAAAAAAAAAAAAAATAGAAATACATAACAAAATAATGATATAATTAGGAAAATTAAAAAGATATGATGAAATAAAAATTAATTAAATTTTTGTGTTATGAAAATATTCTTTTAGCAACCTTATAAATAGGTTATTCATCCATTTTACTTTAAAGTTTCAAACATTATTTTTTATTTTGGTAGCCATGAAATCAAAAAAAAAAAAAAAAAAAAAAATAAAATAGTATTATAAAATTATTTGTGTTTCAATTCTGATCTTGAATATATTTGTTCCATTTGTTGTATTATCGTTATTTTAAATTTTAATAAATAATTATGTTAAACATTTACAAAATACGGATCTACTTGAAGTCTCATGGATGTACACTTAAAAAAAAACCTAGATTCTTAATTTGAAAGATTATGTATAAAAATCAATTGTAGCCAATACAGAAAAAAATATTTGTTTTTCTACACAGATCTTCCATTTATTTTTATATTGAATTTATTATTTATTAAAGTTGTGATATTACTTATATTATATTGTTTTTTTTTGTTTATAAATTTTATTCCCAACTAAATTGTGAAGGTAACTTGTAAATGTAAAGTAAGTTTTACATAATAATATGATATTTATTTAAAATGTATTGTTCTTCATTTTTAATTTAATAATTTTATTGATTTTAATATCAGTATAAATATAAATGCGAGTTAGTACAGAAAAAAAAAATTAAGAGCTGATGCCATAGAAATATTAACTAATTAATACTGGCTTATAAAATATGGTTTGATGAAATTTAACTGAAACTTAATAAAATTATGGAATTTTAATTTAGGTTGTCATTTGAGAATCAGAATGTGTTAGTCGTTTAACCTCCAAACATATATGGTAAGATAAATAAAGTTATTTCATTTATATGTATATCTGTATACAAAAATAAACCATTTCTAATGAAAAACGATTATCAGCAAAGTTTGATTATACATGATTTGAATAGCCGTAGTAACTACGATTTTCATCAAACTTTCATTTTAAAACTATTATAAAAAAAAAAATAATACCAATATTACACTCTACTTTTTTTTTTTACCATCAAGTATAACTTATAATGAATCTTCTTTCAAGATTTCTGTTTGATCAAATAATTTTATCACTATAGTTGCCTACCAAAAAAAAAAAAAACTATGTAAACAATAACATAAAATTCCTTATTAGAGCTCAACAATTTTGTTAGAGTATTTTGAAAATTTTCACACATTTAGAAAAAGCAAACATAAGTGTTATGAAAAATATCAATTTTGTACACATATTTATAACTGAATTACAAATAAAAAACAAAATTGAAAGTAATGTAAATTATTAAAACTTTCCTATTCTTTTTACGTTTTTTCCTGGTTTTGCTCAATTATTAAGAAAACTACATGGGAAACCAAAAGGCGACTTTCTTTCTCACCAACATGATTCAAAATTCAATAATAAAGGTCATTTGTCGGTCTTTGATTAAAGCAAGATTTCTAATGGTAAATATAAAGCTTAAGAATTAAAAACAACACTGTAAATATTTATTAGTTTTTCTTTCATTTTATATTTGGAGCGTAGCGATCTATTGCTTAGATATTGTTTACTACCAACAATGTATTTTTTTTTTTTGAAAAAAACCGTACTCCGATGTATAAAATGAAGTACCTTTTATCTATTTGGTGCATTAGACAGGTAATATTTTAATTTTCCTTCGATTTTACGCATGATGTTTTTACCATAAATATTGCTTTATAGAAAAACGATAAGAGATTATTTTTGTTGTATTTTTATCTAGTTGATGATCAAGAAATTTGTTTTTTATTTTTTCTTGTAGTTTTTTTAATAAACCGAAAAAAGAAACATAGAAAGAACCGGAAAATTTACGAAAATAATTCTTTTAATATTTTCAGTTTTGATATTTTGTTGTGATACAGTGAAAGTATTATTCGAGATTTAAAATTTGAACAGAAAACTTATATTTGACTTTTCTATACGAGGCATAATGTACCTAGTATAGTTAATTTTAAAAGAGTTAAAATTAAACTTGACGAAAATCGTAAATATTACAGCCTTTCAAAACATATGGGTATAACAAAACTTCGTTCCGAATTATTTTTCGTTAGCAATGGTTTATCGTTGATTACTGTTAACAGGTATAAGTTAAATAACTTTATGTATCATTTCCTTCCCGACTTTCTACTTACAACAGTGGCGCACTGATCTCCTGTAGTATCAGCTCATTAATGTTTCCGTTTTTTCTCAATTATTTTAAAAACCCCTTGGAAAATCAAACTAATTACTTCTTTAATGCACCAACAAGATCTAAAATACAACAAACGACCCCTTGTTATTTATCAATTGGGGCAAGATTTCTGGCCGACAAGTTATTTACAGCAAAAAAAAAAAGAAAAAGAACACATCATAGGTAGGTAGTAAAACCAATAGATCCCTCGCTACTTACACTTAGAATGTAATACCTAGCTAAAATAATGAAACCGTTATGCCATAAACTTTCCCGTTTTTTCTATGCGGTTTCTCGATTTTTTTTTAACTATTTAGAAAACTGCAATACGCTACACGCCTCATTGGTTTCTGGAATGTAATGTAAGGGCTAATCAAATGTATCAATATGCATTGGCGTATATAGAAATTAATTTGAGAGGGGGTTTTAGTTGATACATAGATCAAATAGATTCATGAATATGCACGCGTGCCGTACGTGTGGGGGGGGGGGGGGGGGGGTTCGGACCTCCGAAACCCACCTCTATATATGCCACTGTTAGTATGTATACCTACCTAATCCTATTAACTTAGTCGGAGCAGCTGGTTAGCTATTCGGCTATTCCTACACTATAATTATATAATACAACTAATAAATATTAGAATAATATAAATACAATAAATACACTTGACCTGAGTAACCCTGATTTCCTAGGGCGGTTATGGCCATTGTTGAATCCAGACAATTTTTCAGGGGGGAGTGGAGGGGGGGCATTATCAAAGTTATAGTAAGTAATGACCCTTTTTTTTTATCTTTACTTATCTACCCTCTTACCGAGACCAGTCAAATTTGTTTTATCAATTTATTTACCAACATTTTACAGGGGAGGTCAAACAAAATATTGAATTCAACACTGGTTATGGTGGCGGAGTACGAGTGGCGTGTGATGATTGATATTAAGAGTTACATTATAATCGCAATGTTAGTTAAACACGTAACGGTATTATTAATACCAGGTTGCGGTTCCGACTACTAATTTATTATACACACATAGGTATACGTCAGTATTCCGCGCTCCAGTGTATTACGTCTAGTTAAGCAAAATACGGCGTAGGAGAAGTGCTGTGGCGGGTCGGAAACTCAGAAACTGCAGTGCCGTTACAAATCTATGACTTATGATTTTACAGATTTCGCAGTGTCGGTCTGGCCATGTCCGCTATGCCGTCGAGACGTATTTGTGTCTGGGGGGGGGGCACCTCAAAGCCCGAAATTTATAAAATATCGCCATTCAATTGCTTATTATTTTTTGTGCAGAGATTAAATGAACGAAGTATTGTTAAGACTTTAGTTGACTATTGCAGACTATAGTAAAATAATAAAATATACCTGATAATTAATTATTATTAATTATTGTGTGAGTGATTATATTTATACACCAATTATTGAAAACTGGAACGACGCTAAAAATCACTTTTGCACGTTATATAACGTATTATTAAACAAATATGAAATCGTGACGTGTAATTTGATACAATATTGTTTATTTAATTAACACTCAGTAGTATCTCATTTTCGTTGATGTCGCTACATCATTATAGACAATATAGATGTCTGTGAGTTGGTGTCATACCATGTTAATTATATCATGATTTTATTTATTCTGTGGTGGTACAGCTGAAAAATATGATAAATAGTAACTGATAAGAATCGTAGTTCGTGGTTAAAAATTTCAAACATTATCCACTTATTTACAAATCTACTAATATTATTAAATAATATTTCGGTATCAATTTTTTATTAATATTACTCATTTTTCGTTGAATGATATTTTAGAATTTAATAATTCATTTTTTTTTTTAGATCCACCACAAATTAATATATCTTGATACTCACTACTCAATGGTTTTTCGGATAATACATTTTCTTCTGTTATTAAAATGGTAATTTATTACATTAATACCTAGAAATTATTAGTTAATAATACGTGGTACCTAATACATTTTATATATTCGTTTATATTACTATATACATTTATCTTTGTAGAACATTTCATCATTTTCGGATAAAGATTTTAACGTAGTAGATTGGATTAATAATACGCTAAAGGATAAACCGCCAGATCAATGTCGCGAGGTATGTATTTTTTTTTTGTTATACTGTGTATGTACAATATGCTCCTTTGTGTGTTCTAAAAACTAATTTTATACCTAAAGCTAAAGGTATTCCATTAATTTAATTGTTTGTTGGATTAATATAATTACCATATTATAATGAAATAAAAACATCTTGGTACTTGATCATCATATGACCTTTTATACTAAAATTAAAACCAGATAAACAATCCGTAATGTAACTTTTTTAGTAGGTACCTACTTAATAGTTTTACGAATTGGTAACATTTTAATTATATTATAATTTATCAAAATTAATTTGTATTAAATAATACCTTCCTATATGTGTTCAAAACTATTTACAATATAATTATTTGGATTTGCAATAGGCAATTCCATCGATGTTGAAAAAGTTGCAATTGTGTGTGGAACAGGTACATGAAGTACTTGATGAAACAACAGAACAAGTTCTATCATCACTACCAAAAGTTGTCAATGATATTGAACAATTTGAAAATCAAGCGTCAAATATTCAACAAAAAATTATTGATTTGAAACAAGAAATAAATACTGTAATGAATTGAAACTCAACTGTATTAAAAAAATAAAAAAATATTAAAACTAATACCTATAATTTTAATTTTCATAAAAAGGTAAAAAATAACACTGGCGAATCGTTGTTAAAACTTCAATTATATGATGAGATAAAATGTAATATGGAAGTTAATAAAAATGCTTTGGAGGAAGCAGACAATTGGACAAAACTTATAACTGATATTGAAATTGTATTTATTACATATTTAAATAATATTTTATGATTCTATTATTGGAAAATATATATTATAATGCATTTTATTTTCAGTTAATGGATACCGGAGAAATAGATCAAGTAACTAATAGATTGATTAAAATGCAACGTTCATTAATAGTATTGGAAAATGATTCAAACTACGAAGATAGAAAAAATCAGTTAGATGAGCTAAAAAGTAAACTAGAAGTTATACTAACCCCAATGCTTATTGTGGCTTTTGAAAATGAAAACATTGGTATGAATAAATAGTTATTGAAAACTATAAGGAATGAAAATGTTTTAATATTTAACATTTTTATTTATTATGCATTTTACAGATGAATCTAAACGATATGTAAATATATTTACTGATTTAGAAAAACGTGATCAGATTACCAAATATTATATTAAGTGTAATAAAAACAGATTACGTAAAGAGTGGGCATCAAAAATTTATGCCAATGAATATTCTAAAAATCCTTTATTTTTTTTTGAAAGTTTTTATGAAGCATTAATGGAATGTAAAAGGCAACAGGTAATTTGTCTTTTAATGAAATTAAGTCAGTTTTTAATACTGGTATCAATTTATAGATTGTATACATACATAGTATTATAATAATATGTATTTGTAACTAATTTTTTTAAACTCCTTACCATTTTAATAATGTCCATTTACTTAAATTTTCTAATAAAATATTGAAATACATATTATATTAGTATGTAATCAAATATATTGAGAGATGTTAGCCTAGATCAATGATTAATTATACAAGAGTATTTTAAATTTAATAAACATTGATAATTATAATTATTTGATTGTATTTAATTCGTATTGTATAGATGATATTGTATAAAAAATTGTTTAATAATGAAGAACAACTAGAAATAGAATATCAATTAATTCTTTCGTATGGAGATTTATTCAATACATTGGAACTTCCAATGTTTGAATTGGTTGATATATCTATGAAAACTCATCAAGAACCGCTCATCCTATTATTAGATTTGTTTACAGCTACTGAAGGTTTTGTCAAAAATATTAAACATGATTCAAAAATTAGTAAGAATTCATATAATAAGCCCAATTAAAATAAATTTATAACAATTTTAAATCATATTTGCATAGATGATGTTGTTACATTCAATTGGGACGATATATTGACAAATATTTATCGACCATTAATCCCACAAATTGTTTCTTACAAAGAATTGGAGTATGATCATTCCAAAAATATTACTGATTTTTCATTACATACTGATGATGATTTAGTTGATGTAGTTCAAGCTTTTGGCCAGTCTCAATTAACAGTTTTTAGAGCAGCTGAAGAAGCCAAACGTCGATGTGCAGTTTTTAATCACTGTGTTTTTCCTGAAATGATTTTTGCTATGAATGTAATAAAAAATATTTAAATTAATTTTATCAGTATATGATATACATATTAAATGAAAATATTTTATGTTTTAAAGAGGATATTTTCCAACACAATTGAAGGCGGTAAAGAAGTATTAAAAAAAATATTAGTCAATATTAAATCTGGAGAAAACTGGAATTTATTTCAAATATGTTTAAAATTTTTACAATCTTCTGGTAAATTTTTAAAATGTCCAGAAGTATAATTTTATGATTGTAGTAATTGTATGTAATATTATGTTGGTTATTTTCAGGAGAATTCTTACGAGAATTAGATTTTATAGAATCTGAATTTAAAAGTTGTATTTTAACAAGTGAACAACGCGCATTAAATGTTTCAAAGTATATACTGTTAGCAGATAAGCGAATTGAATTACAAAATATGATTGACTCCTTAAAAAAAGGCAAGTTTTATTAAATATAAATTAAAGTGCTAAAAGAAAATGTTAAGGGTTTTTTTTTAATCATTCGTTAATAAAATATAGTTAGTCACTTTTAAATGGTCAACATTTTGATATAGGGATCATCATATTACTAGTAAAAAAATTTGTATGCATTTACATTTTTTGAAATAATGTTGATAGTATTATTGTTCATATTTTTCTTATATTAATTATAACTTAAAAATGACAAGTCTAACCCATATAAATCCCAAGATATTAAAAAGGTTAAATACATACAATTTAATAAAATAAAGATTTTAAAAATAGTCAAAAATCTATATAAGCTATCCTTTTTTATTTTGATGTAATTACTGTCTGATTAATTGAATGGTTATACATTTTAGTTAAAATCATTGTCCCTGTCAGTAATTGTTATGTTAATATAAATTATTGTGCATTTGTTATTTTATTTTAGAAGTGTTTGGATAATATTTTAAATTCTTATATAAAAATAAAATTTAAAATTTTGTGTATAAAAAACAAGACATTTCATACAATTTTTAAAAATTATTTGGTATTTTATTCATTGATGTGTGTTTTTATAGATAACGAATGGAAACTTTTTAAAGAAACGATTCAAGCGGCAGAAAAATTATGCTCTCATGTATACCAAACATTTTATAAAATATCATTTCGACCTATATCGTTTTACTTGGAGCAAGTAGAAAAAGTTAAATTTAATAAAGAAACATCTGATAGACTTTCTCCGAGGGAGTATATTACCCAAGTAATGCCATATTCATTTTAACAATTGATAATACCCAAATATTTCTTAAAGAATTATTATTACAAATTGTACAGATTGGACAGTATTTAATTACACTGCCTCAACACGTTGAGCCATTTTTAGTGCGAGATAATGAAGCAGTAAACATTGTTCTAAATATATCTGATAGACGTTATACAGATGCTACTTTAGAAGAGAGTTATACAAATGTATTATTAAGGATATTAGCAAGCAATACATGTGATGTATATGTAGAACAAATTCAGTCACTCAGAGATGTAAACAGTTTAGCCGCGCTGCAATTAGCAATTGATATTGGTAAATGATTTTTTTAAAACAAATTTTTTCAAGAAAATAAATCTTCCTTAATGGAAAAAAATGGCTGTTGAAATAGAAGATATTATATGCTATTATAAGGGGAAAATTATTTTTTGCTTTTTCCAATAAATTAAAATATATATATATTTACACATAATACACATTTTTAAATATAATTTTTATAAAACTTAGTGAATTGTTTTTACTGTCCATCAAACCTTAATGTAACATACATTAGTATGATAAAATTATTAATTTAAATATTATGCATAACACATTTCAGAATACTTGGGATATGTATTGGAAGAACTTGGAGTTAAACTTAATGATACTACAAGGCAAATAATGAATTTATTAAGATTAGAAAGTGATGAGTATACTATGAAATCGTCATCAATTGGTGCTGCATCAAAAGTAGTTGCAGTAATTGCTAAAATAAGAAATATTAGATAATAAATAAATAAATGTATGTATGTATGGAAAATCTTTGAGTTGTATTATTTTAACAAATATAAATTACATATTTCTTAAATTAAATAATTATGTTGAGTATTCAGGTGCCCATAGTTTAAATGTTCTATCATATGACGAGGATGCTATATATTTAGAATCTGGTGATATGTCCACACCCATAATTTTGTTGTCATGACCGGATAGTGTTTTAAGCATTTGCCATGTTTTATTTGCCCAAATCTATAAAAATTAAAAGTTATCATTTTTATATTTATTTAGAAACTAATTTGCACATAAATTTAATGACTATAAATTAAAACCTTGATTGTATTGTCATATGATGATGTAACAATAAAATGACCTTCAGGTTGATATCTCAGTCCTGAAACAAGACTCATGTGTGCTGGTATAGTATATAGACAAGCTCTTTTTCTAACATCCCAAATTCGACAAGTGTTATCTTCACTGCCAGTAGCCAGTTGATAACTGAATATAATATAATAATTAAAACACAATTATTTAAGTTTACAATGGAATCATTAAATTAAAAAATGTTACCCATTGGGAGAAAAGTCGATACTGTATATGGATTTTAAATGACCTTCCATAAACATAATACATCTTCCTGTACGCAAATCCCAAACACGTCCAAAAGCATCTAAGCCCCTTTAATTGAAAAATAAATAATGCTTTATAAGTACAATCTTAAAAATTAAAATACTAATAAGTAAAAAAAAAAATCATAACAATTGATAAATTGGTTTACCCAGTTGCCACAATTGAACCATCACATTGGAATGACATACAATAAACTGGTTTACAATGTCCTTCTTGATGAAGAACCTCTTCTGCTTGTTCTAAATCCCATAATCGCCATGAATTGTCAAAACAGCAAGTGCCCAAAAACCTACCAGATGGGTGAAAAATAGCTCTTGATACTCTGAATGGTGCATGACCTTCCAAGTCTGCTACAGGTTCTTCCTTTTTACTGGAAATATAAAATTTCAAATACATTATATGTATACAAACAAAGTACACTAGGTACCTTTATGTGATATAAAATTATTTACCTATCGATTGACCATAATTTTACAGAACCATCACTGGCACATGATACAAGATCGCATACATTATCATCTGTGCCTGAGTGCGGATTAAATGTTATGGAACAGACATTACAATTATGCCCTCTAAATGTTTTAACTAATGAACAGTCAGGAACTGACCATAACTTACACAACCCACTCCTTCAAAAAATAGTATTGATAGATATTAATAAAATTATTTTCCAATATAATCTAAATAATTATATGAAAATTAATAAAGTTTACCAAGACGATGTAGCTATGAATCGTGAATCTGGGCTAAAACGACAATATGATATTGGTCTAGTATCACCAATTTGACTACAATATATAGATAGAGATGTTGTGTATTTGTGTAAGTCTTGTAAGCGGGCGGTAAGTGTTGATTCAGGTATACTGGCTTCTTCTCTAAGTTTTTCCAAACGAAAATGTGACCTTAACAATGAATAATCTAAAAAAACAAGTTGTAAAGTAAGTTGGTGGTATTGTACCTTTTATATTTTTCCTCTACAAAGGGGGATAAAGGAAAATGACAATTTTTTCCATTAAATATGAAAATCACACTATGGTAGGTGTACTTAAAATTATGGTGTTTTAATAGTTATCAAATTATGAAGTTTATATTTAGAATCATTCTATTATGAAGTTCTGTTCAAATTTATTTCATGTACTTGTTATAATCCATACCTGTAATATACAAACGTGCATCTAATAATGACGGTGGACCTTCGTGGTACCATGTTGTATCCTGATCTTTAATTTGCTGACGTTTCTCTTTTTCTTCTTCTGGTTTTTTAGCTACAATATCTTCTCCTACCCTAAAATAATAAATAAATACCATTACATAACTAAGATATTTATTAAACAATTTAACAAAACACGAATATTTGATTTAGAAGAAACAAAACTGCAGAAAAGTCCTTATTTAAATCATCAGTACCGAGAATATTTTAGTTTATACTTTGTGTTAGTTTACTAAAAATAGGTGAGTATACTACACGAAAATAAAATAAAATAGATTTTAAAATAAGATTTTTGAGAAACAGAGTGGCACCATATGAGTACACTAAGCTATTACGCTATATGTTTCTGAAGGTACTTGAGGACTCTAGAGGTTGAAAGGTTAATTTTTATTTAAATATGTTGGTATTAATTACTGGTGTTACAGGTATATTTAAAAAAAAAAAAATCTACTAGGCAAAATTACTACAAACCTTGAAAGCAGTTCTCGCAATCTATTTCTCCTTTCAGCAGGCCCTTCGCCAAATAAGCATATAGCTTGACCAAGTTTTCTGAGGTTTTTTTTGACTTCATCATCGTCAGTAGAAACTTGAACATGTCTGGCTTTTTTCTTGCGTTCAAATTCTTCAAGTAAAGCCTGTTTGTCTTTGGATATAGCATCCTCCAAATCAAAATATTCTGTAATAAATATTATTTAAATAATAATTTACCAGGCTATTATTTATTGATTATATTATTACCACTAGATACATTAATATTTCCTCCAACTTTTTGGTCGGTATCGCTTTCAGAATTGGCCTGCAAAGTTGCCAAACGGATACGTTCTTGATCTTCTAAAGAACCATAATGAATTGTTTTTGGTTTTTTCACATAAGTCACATCTTCTTCGTCTGACATCCTTTATAATTTCAGAATCGAATTCTAGTCGAGGAAGTGTATTATAAAATTTAAAATTAAACTGACTTAATGTCGGTATATGGACGCCAATTAGACTGTTATCTTTATCAGTAATGTTTTTAGTAAATAAATACAAACTACAATGTGATACAAAATGATATCTAAATCCAAAGTACTGCCGTATACTTATCAACTTGCACGAGTTAGTATCACATAATACATGAAATCAGAAATGAATGAATGTAAATATTTTTAATTTTTCAATTCTAAACGTAAGTTAATTAATTTTTTTTTCAAAATTAAATTATTCAGTATAAAATTGCATTATATATTATAATATAGAGACTTCAAATAAACAAATTTGCGGTCTGGTGCTATCTGAATTTTTACAATGTTTATTAATTTTTAATTTAAATTTTGCTAGTAAAAAATTATGGTAAAAAATTACCGGGTTGTTGTATTTGGCGTGAAAGGTGTTGGTAAAACGGCAATTATTGAACAAGCTATTTATGGAAAATTTAATAAAGACGTTGTAAGTATAATAAAAGTACCTAACTACTTGTATAACTTATAAAATTACTTAATATTAATTGTACAATTTTGGTTATAGAAATTGTGGCCCACTATTGAAGATATATACCAAGCTTCTATCGAAACCGATAAAGGGATACGTGAACTAGTTCGTTTTTACGATACTGCTGGTTTGGACTTGGCACAATTGCCCGAGGTCGGATTATATTCAAATCCAGATCCTTCTTTAGTGCTATCGTTTGGTCAAATAGCTAGACAGTATGCATCTATTTCTGATGCTTTTGTGTTAGTCTATGATACTAGTCGACCAGAAACTTTTGATTGTTTGGTCACATTAAAGAAAGAAATAGATAGGAATAAAGAAAAAAAAGATGTAAGTAAATATAAGTTTGTATATTATATTTAAATTGGTACCTACCTAATTTAAAAACATTTCCGGTACAATTTTTAAATTTTTCCAGGCATTTTATGTAATTTTAGGTCATAAAATCAGAGAAATGGATATTAAAGCACCGACTTTAGAGTGTCCGACTAGTCGAGCTTCTCATTGGTCCATTAGAGAGAAAATGAAACATTTTGAAGTAAATGCTTTAGATCGAACTACTTTGTTCGAACCATTTACATATATTGCATCAAAATGTAACACCGCACCTCCAAAGAGCAGTTTTCCTCAATTAGTACGAAAAGGTACTCAACATTAACAAGTATTAAGTAACACAAATGTAGAATAAAGGGTATCTATAAAATACAGTTGCTAACTTATATAATTAATTAGATAAGTATTTATTTAACTTTTAGGACTTATGTTACCTATTCTTTACTTTAGCTGAGGAATTAAAATTTTGTTATATTTCATCACCAAATATTTCCATTTTAGAAGCTCACTATTCTGTCCATGACCCAACATGTGAATCTATTTTACAATACAAATATGCTGTCACAAACTGTTTCATTAAATAAAATAATTAGATGTTACTTTTAATCACATTTGCAATGAACCATTCATATTTTAGAATTAAATATAAAAATGCGTAAATTATACATTAAATGCAGAACAATTTTTAACTATACACTGGCTAAAAAATATAATATTTTGCTTTATCTAAATTTGTAATAGAATATGATATAGTGGTATGGAGAGGAGTCTACATATATAAACTACATACAGGTTGCACATAATATCTTTATAATTATTCTTTGTAAACCTTGAATTTATCCGAGTAAATAATTTTACTTTGACATGAAATTATTAACTGATTAACTGTGAACAAATTATACTAAAAAAAAAAAAAAAAAAAAACATTTATATTATGTACCTATCACAAGAAAACTTAATAAAACCATTCATTTACAACTACAACACAAGATCTGAAAATCTAATATTTCCAAAAATAAACATCTCAAAATATTATGACAGCTATCTGATAACTGGTTTAAGACTATATGAAAAGCTTCTTATTCATATACAAAATTGTCAACAATTTGTAAATTGGACTGGGAATTAATTTTGTGAAATGGTTTTGTTAATACTAAAAATTATACATGTATTATTAAATTCTAAAACCTATTATCATTATATTCTTTTTCTTCTTTAGAGACTCGCCTATCAAAACAAGGACATCATCCTTAGTGATAGTCAATGCAGTAAATTTGTAAATATTTGTAAACATGTAAATATCAATACTGCTAAATAAATATGTATTATTATTGTTATTATTAATTCAATAACACCAACAAACAAATTTTTTGTTCTAGTATTTTGTCACTTGTTTATACATTTTTTATAATTTATTCAAGTACTAGCATTAGTACTTGAATACTTTGAATAGGGGCTGTTGCTTTCACAGAACTGATGCCCAATATCAATTTATTAATTTTAAACAGTTTAATATGAAATAATGATACAAATATTAATATCATTCATAATATCTGTACATTATTATTTTTGATTTGTAATATAATTTAATATATGGTTCTTTTAAAAATCTACTGTTCAATGTTCATACTATTCAAGTTGTTTATATTTATTTTGGTTTTTTTTTTTTACAATTTAGTGTTATGAACTTTTGATGTGCCCAATAATACAGGTACGCTTTTGGGGCGCTTTTAAATTTACTTAATTAATATAAATTGTATATAAATTTAATTCAATACCAATAAATAAATGATTATTATTGTTTATAATATATTTTTGCTATTTATCATTTAATAGATTATGTATTATTATTTAACAATATAACGTTATACAACTGAAGATATAATTTGTAAAAATAATTACCTATGCCAGGTGGCGTTTATTAAAATAGAGGAATGACGAATACAGTAATGTGTGATTGTAATATTATCATTTATCATCAATACTACGAGTATGTAATATTGAATAATTTAATAATAATAATTGTTAAGAATCTACAACAATAATTATAATATAAAGTGAAAATTATTAATACCAATTAATTAACTATTAATACCTGGGCAGTTGTCGGGCAGTGATTTAAAAAAAAAAAAAAAAAAAAAACATCAATGTTTTAGAGTAGGTATTCAATTTTTTTTTTTGTTCCGCAAAAGTAATATAATACATTATGTATATGATCGCAGGTGACGTTAATATATTTTTAGTGGGTAAACATTATATTATAAATCAAAGAAATGTACAGAATTTTGAACAAACGTCTTGCACGAACACGTCTTGTGCGTCCGACCGCCCCGAGTTGGCAAAAACGGCCGGTGGGAAATTCGTTATACCCCTACGTAGATGTTCAAAGGTCGTAATGTAATATGAACAGAATTTGTCTGCAACGGTCAAATTCTACGCGGAGTGGACGCGACGTGTTTGCTCCGGCCTGGCGGAGTCCTGACGACGCGCGTGCTGCCGAGCGCGCGTCTGGCGCCCGCCCGGCGACTCCCCACACAGCCCATTTCGGCCGATTCGAGCAGTTCGAGCTTTTCGATTTTCTTCCGCGTCTTCGACGACGGGTTGGTGATGAGATGGTTGGCGAAGAACAGCGACATGACGGATATCAGCGTGCCGCACAACACGATGCCGATGATCTGGACCATTGTGAAACCTGCGGAACGCATTAAACGCCGTTGCATTCGCGGGTAGGTATCATCCGCTAGGCATTGTCCAACCTTACCCAGCCTATTGAAACTCACCTTCCGGTTTCCTCAGCACAACGGTTGTGCTCACTTCCTCCGACCCGGCGGAATCGAGGATTTTCACGGCACACGTCCAGTTGCCGTAGTCGGCGTCGTCGACCCGGTCCACCGTCAGGCCGCAGTGGCCGGCCGTGAGCCCTTGACCCGAGTACGCGTACCGAGCCGGCGACGGCGTGGACGGCCGCTCGTCCACGGCAAACCCGAACAGACGGGGCGTCAGGAACCGGCAGTACACTATGGGCTGTTTCTCGACGGTGTAACATCCCAACGTGACGCGACTTCCTTCGGTGGCGTACAGCTCGTCCTGGCGCGCGGCGATCACCGACTCTGCAACAGTATGCAAAACACAGGGAATGCGCGGTCAATAAACGACACCACCAACAGTCGGTGCAGGTTACTGGTTAAGTTAGGTTACGCCGTACCCGACACCGTGACGTTCACCGTGCCGTACATCTCGCGCCGGTCGTCGGTTAAGCCCAGCGCGCAGGTCCAGACGCCCGTGTCCGACGTAGACGCCTCGCCGACGGCTACGTGACACTGGCCGAATGACAGCCCTTCGCCCGTGTACCGGTACCGGCTTCCCTTGTTTCGGCCGCCGCCGCCGCCGCCGCTGCCGCCGTGTGTGGGACGACCGTCGTCCGGTACCGTTACGGATATGGCGGTGCCGTTCGGGTGCCGGAGCCAACAGTAATCGATTGCCGAAGGCACGCTGCAGTCCACTCGGAACGCGTTGCCTTTGGGCACCATCAGTGATTGCCCGGCGGTCACGGTCAACGGCGGTATCCCTGTCCAAAAGAAACGCGGACAAAAAAAAAAAAAACAATCGGTATCGCGTGGACGGAAACGGAGAGACTGTTGGTCAGGGCGGATCGGGGTCGGTTTTAGGGATGTCGCGGAATATATTTTGGGGGCCACATCGCCCCAAATAAATGAAAGGGGATCTAGACAATGCGTTTTTATTAAATAGCACGGGTGGTACCCATCATATTTTCCACTTATTTAATTTAGTTTAGCAATAAATTACGAGAACAATATCAAATCTGGTGGGTATGTGTAATGTCGTATGGAGTTGCGTTATACAAATAGAAATTGCCTATAAATTATAAGTGTGTCACATGCGACTTGAATTCATATGACAATGTAATGGGTAAAGTTTCTGAAACTTTTCTCGATTTTGTTTTCGCAAAATTATCAGTTACATTTTCAAAATCGACGTTTTCTTAAAATATCTGTCGTAGGTCATTTTTACAGGTTAAATCCGCCATCGTCCACTGAAGTGTTCAATTTATTTCGAATTAGAAAACTATCTCGTAACAGTGCAGTAACGGGAGGACGGTAACAGGGATTGATTTAAGGACCTTAATGATAATGTATTGAACGTATAATTTATGAGTCTATAGTATTCTTGTTTTACATATTTTTTGTATATTATTTTTTTTGAACGTTGGTAATCGTATTCAACGGTATTTAAATTACTTAGAACCTATGCGTTTCAGTTTTAATATAAATACAAATCCAATACTCACGTGGCCACGCAATATAAGCGCGCCCACATTTTTTCCCCTTATTACGTGTGAGTAGCACACGGTGACTATTGTGAGATTAAAAATCTGTATTATAAGGGTAAAAAGATTGACGCGTAGTAACATACCTATATTTCTATAAAGATTTGTGTTTATTATTTTTCTGATCAATTAATAATAATATCGTGAAGTGAATGCACGTGTTTCATAATTTAAATTCTTTGAGTTTTTATTGTACGCAACAATGCAGAAAGTTTTCAATCGAAACTATCTAACCATATAAACAAGTTACGAGTATTGCACACGGTAATGTATGCCATCTTTAAAGTACCTAACATCGGTTTTCGAATTTCTACCGCGAGAAATCCGTTGGATTAGCGATATGGACGTGATCGAATAACAGTCACTGTCGAACTATTCCGGTAGTCGATCGTGTTTTGCACACTGTAACGTATTCGATGGATTGAAAACTATTCGGTTATGGATAAATTGTTCGAATGAAATACCTGATACGGTTCATCTAAACCATCGAAACATATCGACCGTGTAAACTATTCAGCGCTTCCGAATAGTTCCGGTTGGGTCCTGAACTAACCCGAACACTTTTGCTCTGGAGTCGCTGTATTTGTTTCGACAAAAACTGGGATATAATTGTGTAAAGTATTTCACTCGGTAACTACACCGCACGTATTCATACCGATGGTCAACGCTAACCTAACCTAGCCCCTAACCTACCTTTCATACTGTTCGACGGCGTGACGACGACGAATCCGCCGTAAACCCTTTGGTCGGACATGGCGTTCGCGCACTTCCACCGACCAATCTCGGACCGTTCGAGCGGCTTCGGGAATGACACGCCGCATTCGCTGTCCGTCGTGCCGTGGTAGGCGTACCGGGCCGTTCCGCGGCCGTACGCCAGCGACAGCGTCTGGATGTCCCGTGGCAATGTCAGTTTGCAGTAGCCGGTCGCCGCGGTCCCGTTGTCTGCGCCCCGGGTGACGGTGGCGGCGGCGCCCGCGGCACTGTCCCGGACGTTGCAGTACACCCGTACTTCGGAGGCCGTCTCGTCGTAACCGACTTCCGTCACAACGCCGTCTAGACATCGTGCATACGGTTGTGTAAATGACACCCAAATACGTTAACGGAAAATACGCTGCAAGTCAAGCGGCTGGGACGCCAAATACCGTACGGGGAAAATTACGATTTTCGGAACGTCCCCGGGGTTCCCCCGTATTTAAAGACTTTATCCGGGTCCGCGGTACCCGTGTACCTAAAATACGCGACCCGTCGAGGTTTTTCATCGATTATCTAGGACACTAGACGTTTTAGGTTTACATTCATACGCCGTACCTGCCAACAGGTAGCCGGGTAGGTTGAGCTATTCCATTTCAGCTTACTGCTTTATCTGGACCCGCGCGGCGGCGGTTTTTCGTCGACTGGATAGTAGGTATTAGGTTTACACGTGGGGAACTAAATCTCTCGGAGCAATATCGGTGTACTAATAGGTACATCCGGTTTGGACCAACAAGCAGATTTTGTTTTGTAAAACTTCTAAAACCAACTCGGTTACACGAAGTCGCGGTATGTAAACTGCGGCAAAATTTCCCTTTTCCTATTAGTCGATACATTAATTACGGTAAATTATTTCTTATATTTATTAGGTATATATATATATATTAAAAACGTACCGATAAGATGATCAATGATCGATAACGTTCGTACACTATCTTGTAACATGTCCGTATTATTATAGTTCTATTTTGTTCCTCGCGTCGTCACATACGAAGGTATGTGACGACCACCGAGTAACGATCAACGGACACATATTTTCATTTTATTATTATTATTTTTTTTTTGTTTTTTTGGTGCGCACATAGTCAATCGGCAGTTTGAAAAAAACCCCGATTTTAAAATTATGAAATAGAAAAAAAATCATTGTTATTTAACT